GAGAGAGAGAATGAGAGACAGAGAGCACGAGGGGGAAGAGGGTCAGAGGGAGAAGCAGACTCCCCGCTGAGCAGGGATCCCGACGCGGGACTCGATCCCGGGACTCCGGGATCATGACCTGAGCCGAAGGCAGTCGCTTAACCGACTGAGCCACCCAGGCGCCCTATAATATATTGTATTTATAATAAAGTGTAATATATAATTTATTGTAATAAATTGTATTTATTTTTCAGAATAATTGGACACATTACTTTAAATTTAGAGGTATTTCACCTGAATCCGTATTGAAGCATATTATTTGAAGATATAGCTAACATACTGTTTAGAAATAAGTTCATCTTTGTGGACATGCTATACAGTTATAATTTTTGCTTTACATAGTTATCTTTTAAGTAAAAGAAGAAAAGATTGTCTTTTATGTTTACCCACATATTGATCATTTCTGGTTTTCTGCATTTCTCCCTGCAGATCTGAGATTCATCTGGCATCATTTCCCTTCAGCCTGAAGAATTTCCTTTAGCATTATTTTTAGTGCAGATCTAGTGATGAATTATCTCAGTTTTGTTTACCTGAAAATATTTTTATTTTATCCTCATTTTTATAAAAAACTTTATTGAGATATACATATGATAACATTCACCTATTTTAAGTGTACAGTTCAATGTTTTCTTAGTATATTTAGAGTTGTGCAAGCATCACCACAATCTTATTTTCTTTTTTTAAGTTTTTGTTTATATTCTTTTGTTAACATACAGTGTACTATTAGTTTCAGGTGTATAGTTTAGTGATTCAGCACTTCCACACAACATCCAGTGCTCATCATGACAAGTGCCCTCCGTAATCCCCATCACCTATTTCACTCATCCCCCCACCCACCTCTCCTCTGGTGACCATCAGTTCTCTGTAGTTAAGAGTCTATTTCTTGGTCTCTCTGTCTCTTCCCCTCCCCTATGATGGTCTGTAATTTTAGAACCTTGTGCCCATTAGCAGTGACTCCCTATTCCACTCTCCCCCACTGTCACTAGGCAACCACACATTTATTTTCTGTCTATAGATTTGCCTCATCTGGACATTTCACATAAATGGAATCATACAAGATTAGCATAATGTGTTTGAGGTTCCTCTCTGTTGTGGCATGTATGTATCAGTACTTCATTCCCTTTTATCACTGAATCTGTATTCCATTGTATGATATGCCACATTTTATGTATCCGTTCATCAGTTGATGTATGTTGGATTGCTATGCTTCTTGGCTAGTATGACTAATGCTGCTGTCAACATCTGTGTTCAAGTTTTTGTGTACGTGTGTCTTTTTATTTCTCTTGGATAGATAGGTAGGAGAATGGCTGTCATGCTCCCTTTTAAGAAATATTTATTTATTTTGAGAGAGAGAATGCACTAGGTGGAGGGGGGGGCGAGCAGAGGGAGAGAATCTTAAGCAGGCTCCCTGCTCAGCTTGGAGCCCAACTCGGGGCCTGATCTCATGACCCTGAGATCATGACCTGAGTGGAAATCAAGAGTTGGATGCTTAACTGGCTGAGCCACCCAGGGGCCCCTATCATGCTCTCGTCTGAAGAATATTTTCACTGGATACTGGGATTGATTACTTAAAAAAAAAAAAAAAAGCACTTAAATTCTTTTCACTATCCTGGCCTCTGTTGAAATGTCAGTCATTGTGATAAGTTGATTTTTTCCCGCTAAAACTACATCAAGTGTTTCTTTTATTTCTGATTTTCAGCAATATGATATTTTCTCTGTTTAACCTCTTTGGAGTTTGCTGAGCTTCCTGGATTTGTAAATTAATATTTATCACCAAACTTGGGAAATTATTGGCCATTATTTCTTCAAATATTTTTTTTTCCTCCTTCTGTCTTTTTCTGGGACCCAGTTAAACATATATTGGATCAGTTACTAGTGATCCTTAGTTCGCCAAGGCTCTGTTCATTTTTTTTCCTTAGAAAAAATATCCCTTAAAAAAAAAACAAAACCCTGTTCTTTAGACTGGATAATTTCTTCTGATCTTTCTTCAAGTTTACTACCCTTTTCTACTCCTGTCTCTAATCTCCTATTAAGCCCATTTAGTTAATTTAAAATTTCAGATTATAATTTTCAGTTTTAAAATTTACATTAAAAATTGTCCACTGAGATCCTTCATCAGTTATTTGGACCATGTTCCTTTAAGTCTTTGAATGGTTTATATTGGTAGCTTTAAAGTCCTTGTCTGCTAATTTCAATATCTGAGTCATTTTGGGGTCTATTTCTATTGACTTCTTTTTCTTTATTCCTTGAAAATAGATCACATTGTTCCTGCTGTGAATGTCTAATAATTTTTTACTACATATTAGACATTGTGGATGATACATTATAGACACTCACAATTCAGTTATCTTCAGAAGGGTGTCAGTTTTTGTTCTAACAGGTGGATAAAATGCTGGCTGATCACCTTGAAATTATAGACACTTGGTTTTACACCTTATTAGAGTAATGCCAAGGTGTTTACTGATCTCTGACTTGGTGGAACTCAAGCTCTAAAATATCTTGCAGTGGGGACAGGGGAGCTCTGCTTAGTTCTTTTAGCCTTACAGCTATTTTTTTTCCCCCCTGCTGAGTTTCTTGGAGTTCCCTGCTGAGTTTGGGGGGTTAGTCAGATATTTAAAGAGAATTTATATTAAGGTGTTTGGGGCTCCTTCCTGTAACTCACCCCTTTCCAAGATTTCCTCCTCAGTTCCCGGCTGCTCTAATAATCCTGAACTCCATCCTCTTATACCTCACACCAAAAAGACTACGGCATTTTTGCTCAAGTTTTAGCCACGATGCACCACAGAGACTCAACTGGGCTGGGAGTGGGAGGCTAGGGGGTTCTTCAGGGGAAAAAGCTGTATGAAAGTGGGTCTTACTCATTGTGTTTTCTTTCAAGGGTAAATTCCCTCCAGTTTCTGCCGGCTTTTCAGCACTCTTCAGTGCTTTCAAATAGTTTTGGAATTTAAGGTGTTCCTGGATCACCTCATCTGAATGTACCTTTTTTGAAAATTCTCACATGTTGTACCCTTATAGTTCTTTATGCACATGATTTTTCTCCTTCTAGTTATCGAGTGCTGCATTCCTGATACCTCCAAAACTTAGTAGTTTAAAACAGCCATTTTATTATGCTTATGGTTTACTGTGGGTCAGGAATTGGTAAAGGGCACAGACAGCTAGGATGGTGTCTCTGCTCCATATATCTGGGGATTCATTGGGCAAAGCCGGAAGTCTGGGTACCAGACGGGGTGTGGTAGCTGGCACACCAGTCACCTAGAAGTGGCTACTCACCTCCGGCAGGGGAGGCTAGCTGTTGGCTGGGAACTGTGGGCCAGAGCACCTATACATGGACTCCTCACAGCATTGTGACCTTGGATTTCTTACATGGCAACTCAGAACTCTGGTACCAGTGTTCCAGAGAAGCAGCTACAAGCTGCATTGCCTTTTACTATCTAGTCCTAGAAGTTGTACGGCAGAAGTTACATAGCATCCCTTCCTCCACTATTGCCCAGCCAGTTTTTATTGTTGGCCTGAATTCAAGGGGAGGGACATGGATTGATTTCTCAGTGAAGTGGAGGTGTCAAGGAATTTGCAGACGTTTTAAAAGCAGCAGGCTCATTTGGTAAATAGTAAGCTCCCCCTTGTGTCCCAACACAGTCCTACGTACCTGTCAATAGGTATTCATCGAAGTATTTAATTTTTCTCCTTAACTCTAGGTTTGGACCGAAAGCAAATTTCTGTTTAAGACCTTAAGAAAGGAAGAGATATTTCACTTCTTAAAACCATTTCCTCAGAGTGATCATTTTTTGTCTTTTTATTTGTAGAATACAAAGTTTAACGAAAAATCCATGCTTACGGGGTGAAAATGGCAGGCTTCCTCGATAATTTCCGTTGGCCAGAATGCGAATGTATTGACTGGAGTGAGAGAAGAAATGCCGTGGCTTCTGTGGTGGCAGGCATATTGGTAAGGGAAAAAGCCTGGTCGGTGACCTTGCTGCCTCGTGCTTTGCCCTGAAAATTAATGTCGATTCCTTTGGACCATGAATACCCTTTCAGAACTGTTTATTTCACCGTTACCTTGTATGAACAATTAGAGTTCTAGATATGACTGAACAAAACATGGTAGGCCCTGGGTTCCTTTGACTTTGTAAGTTTGTTAAGCTTAATATCTTTTCTTCATTTCAAGTGATAACACAATTATCATAAGCTGTAGCATTTTTAAGCTAATGATAACAATATGTCTGAGTCCAGTAAGCTCATCAGAGGCTCAGAATTTGATAACCAATAGTGTTGTGACTCAGCAAGATTCAGGATGTGTAGACAGCAGTAGGGACCCGAGGCTGTGTTAGAACTGAAACCCTGCGATGCTCCAGGGAAGGGACGCCAGCCCCCTATCCCCAGCGGCAGCTCTGAGGGGGCGTGTGAGACCAAGAAGTCTGTGGCGGAAACTCTTGCTTCATCTTCTTCTGGACATTTTTTTCTTTTTCAACTTTTTATTATAAAACATGTTGTGCATATACAGTCAACAAAAATAGAATGGTGTAAGGAGCCCTGCTCATCCCACGTTCGTACGACCCGGCTTCAAAACAAATCATGACCAGTCTTGCGTTAGCGGTCCGTCATCCACTCCCTGCCGTCACTGTGTTTCTGAAGCAAATTTCAGTATCGATTACATTTAAAAAATGTATCTCTTTCAGTATACAGTTCTGTACTTGAAGTCCAGTAGGAAAAAAAAAAATAACCCAGAGCAGGAATTAAAGATAATTGTGAAGCTTCTATTTTTTTTTTTTTTCTCTTTGTGGTCATTTTACCTGAACTTAATTTGTCCTTGAAATTCTTTAGCAGTTTCTTGAAGTCTTTTCAGTTTAGTTTATAGAGAAACATGACATTTTACAAACTCATGTTCAGTCAGTTACACACTAATCAAACTACATAATCGATTAAAACTATGGCAGGTTTAAATAGTTGGAGACATGACAGCTGACCCTTGGTAAGCATACAACTCATTTGTGGATGCAGAAGAGCTTGGGCGTATTAAGAAGGAATGTTCTCTGGAGAGAATGAAACACATCAAGTAATCAGGAGCTGGTTAGCTGGAGGTTAGTTAAGAGAGCTTCAGGGGCGCCTGAGTGGCTCAGTCGGTTAAGCATTCAACTCTTGATTTTGGCTCAGGTCATGATCTCAGGGTCGTGAAATCAGGCCCAGCATCGGGCTCTGTGCTCAGCCGGGAGTCGGCTTGGGATATTCTCTCTCCCTCTGCTCCTCCCCCTGCTCTTGGGCACGGGCCCTCTCTCTCTCTCTCTCTCAAATAAGCAAAATCTTTTAAAAAAGAGAGAGCTTCAGTGCATGTAATTATGGTGGGCAAAAGAAGCAGGTAATTCGTTCTAGATAACAGATTTTTTATCTTGCATTGAGAGCAGAACTTCAGAATGTTACACAGACTTGATTAGGTAAGTTCATCTCAAATGCTGTCAAGAGTAAGTAAACAAGGGATTCTTATTTTTTTTATTTCCACATCCAGAGCTCAGACTAGAAATATGTTTCATTTATATGGTCTGTAGAAATATAGGAATATTAAAGAGCAAGTAACTTCATGCTTAGCCGATTGTTAGTGTTATTTTAATGACTTGGGCTCTTGTGCCAGTTTTTTACAGGTTGGTGGATAATGATTGATGCCGCCGTGGTGTACCCTAAGCCGGAGCAGTTGAACCATGCCTTTCACACGTGTGGCGTGTTCTCCACATTGGCTTTCTTCATGTAAGTATGAAGGTGATTCTTAATTCAAGATCATTTTCCGAAAAACATGTTTTCCTTAGAGTTTAATGCTATTTAGAGTAACCTTTTAATTTAATTGATGGATTCTTCTTTAACATGATAAATATATATATATATTTTTCCCCATTATATTAAGTTTTTTTAATCAAGAATGAGTGTTGAATTTAGTCACATATCTTTTTAGCATCTGTAAAGATTATCACGTGATTTTTCTTCTTAAACTGTTGTTAAGCCGGTCACTGTATTTTATCAGTACCGAGATTATTTTTTGTATTTGAATATCTCTGAATATGAGGGTGATTCTTTTTTTTTTTTTAAGATTTTATTTATTTGACAGAGAGAGAGAGCACAAGCAGGGGGAGCAACAGAGGGAGAGGGAAAGGGAGAAGCAGGCTCCCCACTGAGCAGGGAACCCGACGCAGGGCTCAATCCCAGGACATTGGGATCATGACCCGAGCTGAAGGCAGATGCTCAACCAACTGAGCCACCCAGGCGCCTCAATGTGGGTGCTTCTTATAGTCAGTATTACCTTATAATTACAATTGATTTTATATATATATAATTTTTTTTTTTAAGGAGGGAGAGAGAGGGAGAGAACTTTTTTTTTTTTTTTTAAAGATTTATTTGAGAGAGGGACGTCTGGGTGGCTCAGTCGGTTAAGCATGCAACTCTTGATTTCGGCTCAGGTCATGATCTCAGGGTCGTGAGATCAGGCCCTGCTTTGGGCTCTGCTCAGATGGGAGTCTGCTTGAGACAGAGTTGGATGCTCAACCGACTGAACCACCCAGGTGCCCCCCCAATTGATATTTTTTTCTTTCATGGTAAAAACAATATTCATGCATCTTAAAAAATCAGTGGCATCTTAGATTTAATGAAATATGTTACATTTCTAGATTTCTTTTTAGTAGTGAATCATTCCCTGAGTATTGTAACACAGAACTTTTAGCTTGGAGTATAATTTTTTTTTTTTTAACGTGTTGTTTGAATGTGTTTGCTAGTAGCTGGGGGGAGGGCAGGATTGGCCTCTAATGAGATTGGTCTATGACTCTTCTTTTTTATTAAATCATTTTTGGGTTTATCTGTTAAACCTCATTTCATAAAAGAGTTTGGAAACTTTCTGTGGATATATTTTAAGGACTATGTTAAAATATTAAGATTATGTAATTTCCTTATACTGTTAAGAGTTATAAAAGTTAAATTGTGCGGGCACCTGGGTGGCTTAGTCTGTTAAATGTCTGACTCTTGATTTTGGCTCAGGTCATGATCTCAGGGTCATGAAATTGAGCCCCCTGTTGGGCTCCACGGTGGACGCAGAGCCTGCTTAAGGTTCTCTTTCCTTTCCCCCTGCCCCTCCCCACCCTGCTTGTGCATTCTCTCTCTCTCTCTCTCTCTAAAAATAAATAAGATATTTCAAAAAAAGTTAAATTGTAGAAGATGGAACTACTTACATCCATTAAGGATGCTGAGAAGAGGCTACATTTCTACTGTAAACGCATCTTGCTCTAATGAAAATGGCAAGAGAGGCTGAGTAAAGTGAGCCTGTTTATTATATAGAGATCAAATGTGTGACTTTGAGAAATGGATCAGAGAAAATCACTTGACTTTTAACACAGAGAGGAACTTAACTCTTGATTATAATGAGAACCTTAAAATATGATGACTCACCCTGAGTCATTTGTGTATAAATATAAAATAGGCAAAGAAATCAGAAAATTGGCCCCTCTTTCATAATCTCTGGAGACAAGTGATAGTAATTTCTTAAAATTAAGTATGTTTTCTGGGTGTTTAGGTAGAGAGTAACGTTTCTATCCTCTAGGATATCCGTTAAGTTAAAAGATATGTTCAGTTATTCAGACTGACTTTTTTTTAATCTTTTTTTTATTATGTTACGTTAATCACCATACGTTACATCATTAATTTTTGATGTAGTGTTCCATGATTATTTGTGTATAACACCCAGTGCTCCACGCAGAACGTGCCCTCTTTAATACCCACCACCAGGCTAACCCATCCTCCCACCCCCCTCCCCTCTAGAACCCTCAGTTTGTTTTTCAGACTGACTTTAATTCGGAAATGTTTCTCTTTAAATGATATGTAAATATCTGCGACTGGTTTAGCAGCATGTGAGCTTACGAGATGATTTTGTGTTGTTCCAGGATAAATGCTGTGTCCAACGCTCAGGTGAGGGGGGACAGCTATGAAAGCGGCTGTTTGGGAAGAACAGGTAAAGGCACTTTGAGTTTTAAGTGCGCTGGCAGAGAGGGATTTGTCAGCAGGAGAAAAAAGTCCTTTTATATAGCACTAGTTAGGATTACATAGAATTTTTTTTTATTAACTTTGAAAAAAAGTTTTGGTGTTATTTAAATCCTTAACGAAGTTAAAGTTACCGCCAGAAGTACTACTTTAGTCATGTTTTACTGCTCATAGTCTATAAGTAAAATGTTGTTATTTAAAATCAATGACTCTTGGATTCCAGGTTACTCCTCCTGCAAAGCTAATGATGACTTTAGGACTTAATTAATCAATTACTCAATTTAGTCATGGAATTACTTAGAAGCTCCCCTAGCCTAGTTTGCCAGGGTATTAGTTTCTCTAGCCCATAGAAAGGTGATTCTCCTTTTTTCTCTTCCCAAGTATGGCTTAACCCCTTTAATTGTTCGTTTTTTAAATCTTCATTCAGTTCATTGTTATAGCAGGTGTATGCAAATATGTGACTGTCTTTGATATGCTGCATACCATGTATTAGGTTAATAGTGTTTCCAATGTTAATGCATTCTTCGGACAGCTGCAGAAATGAGCGAAATCGTAAAGCCTATTCTTCATGCAGGTGCTCGAGTTTGGCTCTTCATTGGTTTCATGTTGATGTTTGGGTCACTTATTGCTTCCATGTGGATTCTTTTTGGTGCATATGTTACCCAAAGTAAGTATTTATTCCTCTTTTATTTCATAGAGACTCAGATATGTCTTTTACATTTAGCTTAGTCCGTCAACTCCACCTGGAGTAAAATTTAGTGTAACTATTCACTTAGCTTGAAGATACGTAAGTTGTTTAATAAAACTTCTCCGTGGGGTCCTTGATTGCAGTGGGATAGCCTGGTTGTGGAATCTAAGCCACCGACAAGACCAGGTAACTGGCCATCTCTAGAGTGTCTGATTTCCTTCCTTACCCTGGACAGCCAGGCTCTATACCAGAGGTCCATTTACTGAGGGTTGTAAGTGGTAAAGTGAGAAGCCTGTACAGATCTGCAGTACCTTATACGTAATTCTAAAATCCACAAAGTGCTGAAAGTCAGATTTTTCATAATCAGCTTGGCAGCAAAACCTGACCGAAGTTGACAGGGGGCTCCTTATGGTCTTTATTCCATTGAATAAGTATTCACGTATTTTCTTGCTGGAATGTTGGTTGTATTTGATTGTGGATGCTGGTCCAAACAGAGCTGGGGTGCTCTGTAATATTTATGCCCTGCGTTAACCATTCTTAAATGTGCAAATTTTTGAATTCCAAAACATACTTTGCCTCAAGGATTTCTGCTCACGGGTGTGAACCCCGATATCTTTCCACTGATACCTCCTCTCTCCAACCCAGCCTGGAATTTTTCAGGCATAGGTGCAGGGGACGTTTTTAGGGGTAAGACTGAACATGTGTGTGTAGCCTTCATGTAGAAACTTGATGCTCACTCCACTCAGTGGTGTGAGCTCTCAGTGCTCTGTTCTGAGCGGCTCCTCCAGGCACTATAGCTTTGCTCCAGGGTGGGGTGGAGAGGCAGCACCCGGTCCCAGAAGAACCCGTTTCTCTCCCTTCACTCCGAAGACAGGAGTCTGTTTCAGATAACACATAACACCACTTACTCATCTTCTGACCCCTCTACCCTCAGGATCTCTTTGTCACTCTGCTTAACTGTCACATCTCCTTGTCCTTACCCACAGCTGACCTTTTAATACTCTTATAGGACCCCTTCAGTTCCTAGTTCAATCTTTGGAAACTTGTTTTTCACTTGGCACAAAATAAGTTCATACAAGTGGTTGGCTACTGTTTAAATAGTACTGCTCATCAAGTTTATCTAAAATGTGTTATTTTAGGGGTGCTTGGCTGGCTCAGTCGGGAGGGTGTGCAACTCTTGACCTCAGGGTTGTGAGTTTGAGACCCCACATTGGGTGTAATGATTACTTAAAAATAAATCAAGTGTTATTTTAGTTATTAAAAATACTAACGGAGTACACAGTTCTAGTATGAAGCTCGTGAAGGAAAGTGCTTTTTTTTTTTTAAAGATTTTATTTATTTATTTGACAGAGAGAGCACAAGCAGGGGGAGGGGCAGGCAGAGGGAGAGGGAGAAGCAAGCTCCCCGCTGAGCAGGGAGCCCAATGCAGGACTCGATCCCAGGACTCCAGGATCATAACCTGAGCCGAGGGCAGATGCTTAACTGACTGAGCCACCCAGGCACCCCTGAAAGTGCTTTTTTAAAAACAGCTTTATTGAGAGGTAATTTCCATTTAAAGTGTATATTTCAGTGTTTTTAGTATATTTAGAGTTATGCTACCATCACACAATCCAATTTTATTTTATTTTTTTAAAGATTTTATTAGAGAGAGAGAGCGTACGAGTCGGGGGAGGGGCAGAGGGACAAGCAGGCTCCCCGCTGAGCATGGAGCCCTATATGGGGCTTGATCCCAGGACCTTGAGATCATGTTCTGAGCCGAAGTCAGACACTTAACCAACTGAGCCACCGAGGCACCTCACACAATCTACTTTTAGAACATTTTATTACCCCAAAAAGAAACCCCTTACCCATTAGCAGTCACTTCCCATTACCTTTCTTTAGCAGTCCGAGGCAACCACTAAGCTACTTTCTGTCTTTGTAGATTTGCTTATTTCATATAAATGGAATCATATAGGGAAGTGTGTCTTAACCTCACTCTATCCCTGACTCTTAAGTGCTATTACTGATCTCCTTGGAAAGTCTGCTTAGTTACTTCAAGCAACAGGTGAAACTTTCTGGTTTCTCTTAAGAAAATGGGTTTAAATTATCATTTCTGGAACGTGCATAGGGAAGTATTAACGTTTGTATATGTTGTGCACTCATTGGTTGTATTTTAATTTTTAAAGAACTAGTACACATTGAGAAATTTCTCAATTAGGGATTTCATCTTTGTATTCCTACAGCAATACTCATTATATATACTTCTCTGTTTATAAACTGAATATGCTTTTACTTCAGAGAGCATTTCTAACACATATTTCAGATCTTTTGCTGTACAGATTTTCTTGACCTATTACTAATAATAATAGCAGCTAACATTTATATAGCACTTTATGGGCCAAGTACTGTTCTAAGCACTATACGTGGTCATACATTCCTCACTCTCTGTCTGTGGGGTAGGTGCTGTTATAGTGCCCATTTTACAGATGAGGAAACTAAGGGCATAATAAGGTTAAATAATTTGCCCATGGTCATACATTTAGTCACTTGGTAGAGTTAGGATTCATATCCGGGGATCTGTCTCAGACTTGGAGCTCTTGACCATGCTGTTGTATTGTTCGCTATGGTATCGAAAGCTAAAAATTGAAGGTTTTTTTCATCAGGTCTAGGATTTTTAATTGACAGTTATAGTTTTATAAAAGTTAAAAATCCACAAAAATTTAAATAGTTTCCAATTTTTTTTTCTCTTCCTTTGAAGATAGTAACTTTCTTTGAGGGGAGATTCAGTGAAAAAACATGATGAAGAATTAAAATGATCCTTTCTGTATCTGTAGGATTTGCACAATAAAACTCCTGAATTCATGAAAGAAAATAAGTGTACAGACTATTAAATCATCAAGAAGTTAATGTGTACCTTTCTAACATTTCATATTTCTATACAGTAGTTTCCCCCCCCATCTTATCTGCGAGGGTTATGTACCAAGACCCCCATGGGCGTCTGAAACCGTGGATGGTACTGAACCCTAGCTATACTATGATTTCCCCATACATAAGGACCCATGATAAAGTTTAAGTTGTAAATTAGGCACAAGAAGAGATTAACCACATGACTAATAATAAAATGGAACAATTATAATAGTATACTCTAATAAGTTCAAAATATCTTGTACTGTACTCACTCTTCTTGTTCCGGTGGTGATGTGAGATGGTAACACGTCTGGGTGATGAGATGGAGGGAGGTGAGTGACGTAGGCATGTGACATAGCCTTAGGTTACTGTTGACCTGATGATGATCCATCAGAAGGACGATCGTCTGCTTCTTCATGGTGGTTGACCGCGGATAAGTGAAACCTCGGGAGGCGAAACTGCGGTTAAAGGGGAGAGCGCTGTATTGACCATGGAAAGTAAAGGGAGGAGCTGCTGCTTCCTCAGCAGTTCTGGCTCAGCTACAAGCATAGCAATTACTGTAGACAAGAAAAGCTATGAAGTTCACCGTCTTTTATCCAGAGTGAGAACAATCCTTTGTTTTGGGAGAATGAGATTGACATTTTCTTCCTTCAATTTCATTATAGATTTCTTAGCGTTAATGAATAATAGCCGTATTTTATAACATATAGAGCGTGTCATTATGAGTGGCACAAATACTTTGTCACTGCCATTTGCCTTGTGTAATCTTCTGATCCATTTCACTTTGTGCAGATACCGATGTTTATCCAGGACTGGCTGTGTTTTTTCAAAATGCACTTATATTTTTTAGGTAAGTTGCCTAATTTTTTTTTTTTTTTGGTGCAAAATGGTGGTTTTATTAAAGCACGGGGACAGGACCCGTAGGCAGAAAGAGCTGCTGCCAGTTGCCTAATTTCTTAACCACACCTGAAACATTTACAGAAATGTCACTTCATTATAAGAGCAGCATATAGAATGTATAAATCACTTGAATTAGTTACAGTGTATAAAACTTCTTTGAAAAGGTGAAAATTCCACTATTGTATAAGGGCATACATAAACTATTTAACTGGGGTCCTGCTATGAGCTAAGAGCTCAGCTGGATGGTTTATATATGTCACCTTTTCGGTTCCCATGTAATTGTCTTAAATACTTACTACTTACCAACCAGGTGGTGTTCCTGTTTTATAGATGAGGAAATAAGGCTCAGAGCCTACTTAATGACAAGTAATTGCAGAGTTGGGACTTGAACTCAGACTACTTCCATAGCCTGTTAAAACACCGTGTCAGGTACCTTTACTAAAAAAAGAAAAACAGAAAGAAATCAGAGTTAATACATATTATGCATGCCATATACAAAACCTGGTTAGGAAATTGGATTTTTTGATTAAGTTTTTAAGAAAACGAAAAGTAAACATAAAAATAAATATTAGAAGTATTTTTTAGGGGCAGTCTTCTGAAAAAAAAAAAAAAACCCTAAAATGAAGCTCATGGGGTGCCCACGTGGCTCAGTCAAGCATTTGGCTCTTGATCTCAGCTCCAGTCTTGATCTCAGGGTCATGAGTTTGAGCCCTACATTGAAGCCTACTAATAAAAATATTTTAAGCTCATATCCTATGCTTTTCAGAATGAATGTCTTTTAATGTAAAGATAAGTATTTTAGGCATCCATTTATAAATTTATACCCCCCCAACCTCACAAAATTATTAGAATATAAGCCTTGAAGAACTTTGTTTTTGTCACTGTTTTTAAGCAATCTGATTATGGTGCTCCCTTTGGCAGCACATGTATTAATCAATCTGATTATGATGTGCTATGATGTAATTTTCTGCATATTTATTCTTTTGGGGGTTCATTGAGTTTCTTGGATCTGTATGTTTAGTTTTCATCAAATTTGGAATCTTTTCGCCATTACTTCTTCAAAGATTTTTTTTCTGTCCATCCCACTGTCTTGGAGTCCAGTTACATGTATACCGGTCTGCTTGAGTCATCCCACACCCACGAGTGCTTTGTTCTGTTTTTGTTTTTGTTTTCGTTTTCTCTCTGTGTATCATTTGGGATACTTTCTACTGTTATATCTTTTAAGGTCACTAGTCTCTTCTGCGGTGTCCGCAATCATTCCTATCCAGTGTACCTGTCAATTCAGACATGTGCATTTCATCTCCGTTTGCTTGATTTTCCATATTTCTTAGCGTGCTCATGTTCTCCTCCACCTTTTTGAACATATGACATGTTTATAACCATTTCAGGGTCCCTTGAATTGTGTCAGTTCTGAGCTCTTCCTGTTATTTCTACTTTGTCTTCATTTTCGGTCTCTTTCCTCCCATTTGCTTCTTTGCATGCAGCTGGTGGGGGGCTGGATTTTTTGGCATTCCTTTAAACGTTTTTGAGCTTTGTTCTGGGTGCACTTAGGTCACTTGGAAACAGTTCGATCCTTTTGAGTCTTGCTTGTAAGCTTTGGAGGGCAGAACTAGAGCAGCTCTAGTCTAGGACTGTTGCGCCCCCTTACTAAGGCAGTGCCCTTCACATGCCGTGTATTCTGAGGTGTCCCACTCCACTTAGGAGACTGTGAAGTCTTCCCGGCCCTGTGACAGCTCTGGGAGTGGTTCCTTCCGTTTCCCTGGGTAGTTTCTTCGCATTCATCTACTGATCGGTACTCAGCAAAAGACTCAAGGGGAGCCTCCTGTGCATCTCCTGTGCTCCCTCTCTAGCTGTCTGTACTCTCCCTCCCAAACTCCAGCCCCTTGGGCCTCCCTGAACTCTCAGCTCCATTTCCTCAGTTTAGGGAGACTGCTGTGCTCAGCCCTCTTACTGCGCCATGGCCTGGACACTTGTGGCTTTGAAAGATGTTTGACAGTTTCTGCTGTCTTGTGATCATGTTTCTTGGCATGTGACCAAGAGCGTTCTGGGGGCTACAATTAAGTTTTCCTGAAGACATCTTAGGCACTGTTTATTTATTTTTAAAAAAGATTTTTATTTCTTTATTTATTTAACACAGAGAGAGAGTACAAGCAGGGGAAGCAGCAGAGGGAGAGGGAGAAGCAGATTTCCTGCCGAGCAGGGAGCCCAGTGTGGGGCTCGATCCCAGGACTCTGGGATCATGACCTGGGCCGAAGGCAGATGCTTACCTGACTGAGCCACCCAGGAGCCCCAGGCACTGTTTAGAGATCAAATTGAAATTCAGATTCAGCCCTTGGTGGGGGTAGATGAGACCACATAATTGACAGTTGGACAAACAGAAACCTTGCACGTAGAAAGGCCTGCGCTCATGGGGACTGGCTGCTACATTAGCTGTGTGCTCTGCTCAGAGCCTGGCAAGTTAACCAGCCAGCTGGGCGCCTCCTCTCAGGACCGGAGTGCAGCCACTCTGCCTCTGCTTCCTTTGCAGCTGGCCCTCCCACCCACTGGTCCCCCACTTCTGAAGTTTCTTAAGGCTCCAATCCGGGCCTCTTTTCCTTCTAAGTGAGCTCCTTTATGCTCAGGACTTCGATTACTGCATATATGCCGATGAGTCACAGACGTCTGTCTCCACGTCTGAACCGTGTGCCCAGTGTCCTACTTATCTTGGGTGGCTGACATTTCAAATCCAGCACATCCAACATGCCCGCAGCTCAGTTTCTGGTCCCGGCATGCCCCACCTCTCTGCTCCTCTCCCACTCCCCTTCCCCGCCGTACTTGGCTGAAATCATTCCCACTCTTCTTTTAGATCTCAGTTCAGCCACTTTCCCAGGAAGACCTTCTTGACCTCTCTAAACTCAGCGGATCCTTCTATTTCACTCCCTCGGCACCAGGTGCATTGCCTTGACAGCATTTTTTTTTGCTGTTGGAATTTGGCTCCCTCAGGCTCTCAGCTCTATTCGTGAGCACCGTTGGCCTTGTTTTGACTCCTACATTCCTAGCACTTTGCTAGGAGCCTGCGGCCTTGCCAGGCCTCCGGGTACAGTAATTACATGGAAAATGTACAAAGAATTGCAGCATGGTCTGTTTGAAGATTCTTCAGTTGCTGTAGAAACCCAGAGTTAAAAGGGGCCCTAATGCTGCCACTATGAGAAATTCACCTATTCCTTACAAGTTTCCTATCTAATAACTTTCCAGGCTTTAAGAAAGCATGTTTAATCAAGTTTAGCCATCAAGGTCAACAAATTGCTCTACAAAACAAGCACATTCAGACCAGCACCACTGAGGTCTTTATGTTTAGAAATTGATACAAAGGAACCAGGGAGGTACCTGTCAAAGCATATTTAGAAAATGAATTCTTTGTTGCTCATTCCCATGCATTGTTTCCTCATGATTTATTTTCATATCTTTTAGCACTCTGATCTACAAATTCGGAAGAACTGAAGAGCTGTGGACCTGAGAGCACTTCTTAGATCACATTTCCTTTTGTTTTGTTATATTTGTAGATGAGTTTTTCTCTCTCAACATAATTTACACATTGCCAAATGGGATAGATTGTACATTGTTTTGTTTCTTTACACTTTTATGCTCTGAGTTTTGAAGTAGTTTTATGAAGTGTCTGTCCTTTTTTAAAATCATTGAATAGATTGTTAATATGTACATATATAAAACTATATAGATGGGATGATGAGTATCAGTTTTTTATTCCTGAAGACTTAAAGCTTGACCTATTCCCTGAGCCAGGGTTGTATCTTCATGTCATTTTAGAATTTTGTTTTTAGTATCTTTAGTTTTAGTATCTTTAATTTCTGAAGATGTGCAAAAAAAAAAAAATATATATATATATATATAGCTCCATGCATCTGAAATAAGCACTGAGCCATTAACAAGGGTATTTCAGCAAGTTGTAATTTATTTTGGCTTAAAAATGAGATTTTTTAAAAGGAAAAATGTTTGTTATGTATTAAAGAAATGGACTTTTATATGAAGATTTTTTAAATGCCTGAAGGACTAGTTTGAAAGCCTCTTTTAAAAACAATTTCTGTAACATGACTTTGAGAAGGGATAATACGTGATCAGGTACACTCAGTTTTATATGGTTAATGTGAAAAGGCTGTGAGGCAGCTCAGCAACATGCTTCTTGTAAAAACAGCTCCAACGATCTGTCTAATGGGATTATCTTGGCAGGCTGTTATTATCTGACGTTACAAAATTCAGCATCAAACAAGTTTGAGACAACTACAGTTTAAAAGCATGAACCATATAACAAAAACTGGAATAATTAGTTTCAAGATAAAGCACTTCTTCCCAAAGGGAATTATTATGACCTAGTGAAAAATTAGGCGTTATCTCCACTTAGTTACCAACCGCAAGTGGCTCTTTGCACTACTAGCTCTCAAACGTTGGGTGAACTCTTCCTGCAAAATATATCTTTAACCCGAAAGTCCATAATTCCAGTTGAAACCTTCTTTTGCTGAGTTTGAAACACTGCGCACCGTGTGTATTCCTACGAGAGGAGACGTCAAAGTGATGGTTGGGTCCTTGTTGCTACTTTTGCTTTCCTTTGTTATACAGGCTTTGTGTTGCACTTTTTTCCTCCAGAGGGATTTTATAGCACCTTTTGTTGTAAGACAGAATAATAGCAATGGTATAAATATGTAGCTTCTAATGCAAGCCTTATCTTGCTTTACCCTCTCTGCTCCCTGAGAGGGTTTACTGTGCACAGAGTATGAAGCGATTGTGGAACACTGTGCCTTTGTCTAGACACCTTCTTGTTTAATTACTTCTTCCTTTGTTGTTGTTTTTCCCTCCAAATGTCAGTAAACTTTGTCTTGCCTCCAACAATTTGTAAGGCTAATTACTGGTGGCCACTCTCTCGTCACGTGTTGCAATAAATATTCTCACACATCCTAATATTGTGAAATCAGTTGGAGAAAATGAACCATAAAAATTGGCTTGTTGTTCATTTTCAGTTGTTCAAGTGGACCTGGTCACAGAAACAGTTTATCTTTGTGACATAAAGAGAAATACATTCTACTCAGACTTGTAAAATGCTGGTATGAAGGCTAGTGAAGGGCGTGCCGGAAGACCGACTGAAGTAGTGGCTGTTTTCTCCATTCCTGATTCTGCCATGAATTTATTTTGTAACTGAGCAAATCACTTAATTTTCCTGTTTACTCACTTAAAAAGGGATGGGGGGAATAATGTTTGTATCCACCCTTACAGATATTATAGGAAAAGATGGAGCCCTTCATAATCATTTAAAAATACGTTGTGGGGGAGCGCCAGGGTGGCGCAGTCGGTTAAGCATCTGACTCTCGGTTTTGGCTCAGGTCATGATTTCAGGGTCCTGGGATTGAGCCCCGTGTCAGGCTTCACGCTCTGTGGCGTCGGCTTTAGATTCTTTCTCCCTCTCCTTCCCCCTCTGCTTTTCCCTGCTCCTGTGCGTTCTCGCTCTCTCTCAAATAAATAAAATCTTAAAAAAAAATATGTGGGATTCCCTTAATAGAAAGGTCTCCCTGTTACACAGGTTCAATAGCTGTTGAATCTGTCTTTTGGTGTTTGTATGTAGACCAGTATTACCAGAGCATTCTATTTCATTACACTGTTTCTGAGATCCTTGTATTCCTTGTGGTGTTGCCACTGTGAAAAAGGCTAAATTTTTCCATTATATAAATTTTGATGTGTGTCAACATAGTGGAGTAGCAAGGTTAAAGAGGGAAAGATTAATGTTATCAAGCCATGTAACATTTGCTACTTGAGCAAGAACCCCACCCAGGTATTTGACATTGAACTCAGGTTCTCAACATTTTCCACAATGGAAGGCTTTTCAATCATAACGTCAACTTCATTGTTCCATTTTTTTTTTTTTTAAAGATTTATTTATTTGACAGACACACAGCGAGAGGGGGAACACAAGCAGGGGGAGCGGGAGAGGGAGAAGCAGGCTCCCTGCTGAGTGGGGATCTCGATGCGGGGCTCCATCCCAGGACCCTGGGACCATGACCTGAGCCGAAGGCAGACGCTTAATGCCTGAGCCACCCAGGCGCCCCTCATTGTTCCATTTTAGATTTAATTACTTCATATGAAATAACCTCTGCCAGTCTTACGAATTAATCCCAATTTTTCCTGCACTCTCTTGTCCTCACACTCTCATTTTGATTCTGTTTAAAGTTTGTAAAAGTTTGGGGCTACTTTTAGACGATCTCAAGTAACAGCCTATTAAATCCCGAGGGAGAAACATCTGGTGTTAATTTTATTCTCTAAACAATTAGTTGCATTTTGTGGTTAACTGTGTGTGCAGTTAGGTTAGAACAATCTCTTCACTGTATCTGTTCAGACAGGAAAAACTGAAGTAGAAGCTACTTGAAGTAGAAATTATTGAGTTACTTTGTTGATTGTTTTTATTTCTTTGATGGAAAACAAAGGAATAGCCTGGAGTAACAGAGGATCAGTGCTTTTCTGAAGAATGACGGAGGAGAATCAGGGTATGCTTATTTAATCCTGGAGTAGATCTTCACCTTGACGGAGTTGTGGCAATATTTGCTCTCACAACCCATTCCCGTTTTCCTAAAAATAGTCTTTATTACAGTTCCATTTTACTAAAAATGGGAACTCAAGTTATATTTTCTTTGCTATCTAGACAGCCTCACCCACTCCGGCCCAGGGAGAGACCGAAGAAAGAGGCTACTTCAGGCCGCTAGGTGGCAGGGTTTTAAAAAAATTATTTTTTTTTTCATTTTAGGGAGAGAGGGAGATGGAGCACACGAGCCGGGGGAGGGGCAGAGGGAGAGAGAGGCTCTCAAGCCGACTCCCCTCTCAGCGCAGAGCCCGACTGGAGGCTCGATCCCACCACCCTGAGATCATGACCTGAGCCAAAATCAAGGGCTGGCTGCCCAACCAGCCAAATCCCCAGGCGCCCCAGGTGGCGGCTTTAATGAGCAAGAGACCTTGCAGAGGAGGCTTGAGGCTCCACCCGGGCAGCAGCAAGACGAACGGATCCGCGCACCCGCCATAACACCAAATCTTCAAAGCGGATGAAGGGGCCCTAACCGGCTTCAGTCGCGTGGACCACACTTGTGTTCTCAGCACCGCATCCCCATCTCCAGGCCGTGTCCTCAGAGCAGCCTCTGGGAGCGGGGAGGGCAAGGGGAACCCACATTCCAAGGACGGGGGAGGGGGTGACCAGTCGGGGGCCAGCTCTCAGGTCAACTGGCAGCCGCATCTTTGCGGGGACCTTCCGCAACAAACACTGTGCCCTACGTGTTCTCATTTTACTGTCGGTTTGGAGGTAGGACCTTCTTTTTTTTTTTTTTTTAAAGATTTTATTTGTTTGACAGAGAATGAGAGATAGAGAGCACGAGAGGGAAGAGGGTCAGAGGGAGAAGCAGACTCCCTGCCGAGCAGGGAGCCCGATGCGGTACTCGATCCCGGGACTCCAGGATCATGACCTGGGCCGAAGGCAGTCGCCCAACCAACTGAGCCACCCAGGCGCCCCTGGAGGTAGGACCTTCTATCTGGGGAAGTGAAGTAACCTGCCCTCTGATTGGGGTCACAGCTCAGGCCCTTTGCTCCTGAGTGCTGGGCCCTGCTCTTCCCTCAGCCTCCTTCCCCACACCGCCCCACACACTGGTGTTCCTTGGGAAAAACAGGTGTCGTGGTCAAAGAAGCTCGGGAATCCTTGGGCTGAACCAGGTTAAAACATCTTTTTTTCCTGTAAAGTTTTTTCTTTTCTGAGATTTTATTTATTTGAGAGAGCCAGCGTGAGCATGTGCGCTCGAGCAGGGGGAGGAGCAGAGGAGGAGGGAGAGGGCCAAGGGGACTCCACACCGAGGGGGGGCTCCATCCCACCACCTGAGAGCGCAACCTGAGAGGAAACCGAGAGTTGAGGATGGAGAGAGGAGGGGGGAGTATTTCCAGTGGCACTCTTCCTAGAGATTTCTGGTTTGGGAGTTGGGGTTCTTGGGGAACCATTTATATTTAGGTTGGTTTACTTGTCCCTAAATATGGCCCCTTAGCTCTGTGACCCCAAGGCTGTTTGCCTATCCGGAAGTGTTGTTTGAGAATGAACGTGAGCCGGGGCCTAGTTTTGTGCCCCGGGAACAGTTAAGCGCTCAATAAAAGCGGGTCCTTATTTCTCCTGGAGGGCTTTGCCTGAAGGCAGGGACGTTTCCTTCCTCTTTCGACGGCTTTTTTTTTGCCTCTTGGCACAAGGTGGCGTGCCACCTTAAAGAAAAACCGTCGGGAGTCTGCTGGTTTTTTTTTTTTCTTTCTTTCTAGCCTGCCTGTGCTTTCGTCTTTGCAGCAGTTTAAACACAGCTTATGTCATTTTACATTGGGTTTTCGGATGATAATCTATGCCTCTTCAAGGTATTTTAAATCTCTACAAGTAGGTGTGGCAGAGGCCTTCTGGACCCTCAGGGTTGATGCAGAGAGCACCAGTCTTTGATTTGGGAGCATCTATTCCAAGTGCCAAAAAGTGTTAGGATAATGTTAGGTGTATTTCCCTCCATTCTGAAAGTTGTGAATTTATTTTTTCTTAAAATTTTTTTAAAGATTTTATTTATTCATTTGAGACACACAGACAGAGAGAGAGAGAGAGAGAGAGCATGAGCAGGGAGAGAGGCAGAGGGAGAAGCAGGCTCCCTGCTGAGCCAGGAGCCCGATGTGGGGCACGATCCCAGGACCCTGGGATCCTGACCTGAGCAGAAGGCAGATGCTTAAGCATCTGAGCCACCCAGGCGCCCGCTCCTATTTTTTCTTAAAATTTTAAAAAAGGTTTTGAGAGAGAGAGCACACCAACAGGAGGAGTGGGAGAGGGAGAAGCAGGACCCTGAGATCATGACCTGAGCCGAAGGCAGAGGCTTAACTGACTGAGCCACCCAGGCGCCCCAACTCAGAGAATTCCTATACAACCTTCAGATTCTCCGAACATAAACATTTTACCACATTTGCTTTAGTCTATTTTTTTTTCTGAGATATATGACAATATGCTGCAGGTGTGATGCTTTTTCACCCTTGAATATTTCTGTGTACATTTCTCCAAGTCCTAACTGCTATATACACAGTACCAAGGTCAGGAGGGTAACCTTAATACAGCACTAAGCACTGTATCCAAATGTTGCCAAGTGCCCTCGGTAGGTGCTTCTTAGTAAAGGAAAACAAGCGTTTTCCTGTTGCAGAATCCAATCCCTGAACACACAGTGCTCTTTGCTTGTGTGTCCCCTGAAGGGCTCTCGGCTTGAATGATTCTTCAGCCTTTGTCTTTCATGACTGAGCATTTTTGAAGATTGCAGACCACTTCGTTGTTTTGTAGAATGCCCCTCAATTTAAGTTTGTGTGATATTCCCTCACCATTATAGGTTACGCGTTTTTTGGCAGGAATACCACAAAACCCACGTTTGTTATGTTTCAGTACTCCTATCAGCAACCATTGAAACTGCCTGCTCGAGGTGGTGTCTAGCTGCTCTATTTTTCTCCTTTGTAATTCACTTAGGTACCCTGTGGGGACAGCGACTGATTAACTTAATAAATAGAACAAACTCCGATTTGTTTACTAACAGCATTATGCAGAGTCAATTGAAAGTAGGGGTCTTGGGACAGGGTAGATGGGATATACATTTGTGTGTAGCAAATTATAATCCTTCCCTTACATATATAAACGCTTCTCATCCGCTTGTAGATAAACCCAGATGCGGAGGTGGGGGTGTCGAGAGAAGGGGGTCCAGCCGCATCCTGAAATCTGCTAGTTTTCCGTCCCTTACATCCTAGTTTCTCTCAGGCCAGAGCCCTGCACTTTCATTGTATATGAAATTTGTGATAGTATTTCATTATAAAAAGGAACATTCTCATAGAAAATGTCTGGAAAACAGAGTAGAAAGAAATGCACGTTACCATCTAAAATCTACTGGTGGCATTTGGTGTATACTAAGTTTTATTTATTTATTTTTAAAGATTTTATTTATTTGAGAGAGAACACAAGCAGGGGGAGGGGCAGAGGAAGAGGGAGAAGCAGACTTTCCGCTGAGCGGGGAGCCCAATGCGGGGCTCGATCTCAGGACCCTCGGATCATGACCTGAGCAGAAGGCAGACGCTTAACGACTGAGCCACCCAGGCACCCCTGGTGTATACTAAGTTTTAAATCTGATTTTGCAGGTTAACACGGAAACCTCAGCATTATTTTGACAGTCTTTCATGAGAAAATTCCAAGTCTCGGAGGAGCCGAATGTATTTTTGGAACTTACAAATCAGGATTATTAATATGTGCTGTGTACATTTGTGTTCTGTGTATGTACATGGCACTGCTGGGGTTGTGCACTGCACAACCTCTGCAGGTGTATATATGACCTTGACTGTGGTACACAGTCATTGGTGTGGGGCTGGCCACTTGAGAAGTGTTTGGGGGACCCTGGAGGTACACACAGTCATACGAAGGTTCACAGCAACATTTCAGAAAGAAACTAGTTAACAAACATAATGTTCTAATTGATTCATTGAATTGTATGCCAGCCCTTATACCTGCCCATTCACAAGGACCTCGGGGTCCTACCTGGACTCACTAGCTCTTCAAGGGTTTAGGTCTTCTCTAAAAAAACTACACTTACGTGGCTCAGTCGGTTAAGCACCTGCCTTCGGCTTAGGTCATGATCCCGGGGTCTTGGGATCAAGCCCCACATCGGGCTCCCTGCTCAGCAGGGAGCCTGCTTTTCTCTCTCTCTCCCTCTGTCTCTGCCCCCCACTGTACTCGCTCGCTCTCTCAAATAAATAAATAAAATCTTAAAAAACAAACACAAAACCACTAAGGACAGAAATAAGTGGTTGTAAGTGAAATAAGAGTCATAAAGGTGGATGCCCCAAGCACCAGCTAGGGACTGAGCTGTTCCCACACGGGCGATTGCTGGGTGACCTGGCAGTGGTCATTTCTCCAGTGCGTTAGCCCGTGTCCTACAGATACAGAGTCTTCTCCCTCTGCGCCCCCTGCTTGTTGTTGTCCAATTCCTGCTTGTTGGAGGTGGGCCTCCCTTCCCCACCCCCATGCCCAGGGCTCCTCACCCCATGGGGCTCAGCACCGCCCCGAGGATCTGGCGGCCATCTGCGCGGCCGGGCACCGTGGGGCCCCCAGGGGGCGCTATGTACAGCGCAGGAACCCCAGACACTTGGGTTTACTTAGAAAATCCGTGGCGCTTGAAAGCAGAAAGTCTTGCAAGTCGCATGTCTAATTCACACAAATATAGGCCAGAGGTGGCCTTGTTCCAACGAATCCATTATCTCTGGGGGCCCTATTCTTGGTAGAGGGCCCCCTGGCAACCACACTGACCGGCGTGTCCTGAACTCCGCCTCCAGCCGGCTCTAGGACATAGTCCGCCAGCGGCTTTGTGGAGTACATGCAAGAATTAAATCCCTTTCCTCCGGGATAACGAGCCCTGAATGTAAGTCCTGAGTAAGAGCATCTCAGCGTCACGTGGCTTCATGCAGGGACTTTGCATACACTTAAATAATGGGAATGGGTCTGTTTTCTCCTGTATAGCAAACAGTTCATTGTAGAGATCAACGGGCATCAAACACTCTTGGGAAAGGGGCACACAGTAAATATTTTAGGCTCCGTAGGCCTCCTCAGTTCTGCTGAGCAGTGCAAAATCAGCCAGCGATGGTACAGCCATGAGTGAGCATCACTGGGCCCCAATGAAATTTAAATTCCATGTCCTTTTCATGTGTGATGAAATACTATTCTTTTCATCTCCCCCCCACCATTTAAAGGTGTAGAAACTATTTTTAGCTTCAAAGACAGGGGGAGCAGGCTGGTTTTGCTGAATGGCTTGCAGTTTGCCCTGTTGTAAATGATTGGTAAGATTGCTTCTGACTCATTTTATGGTTAGGTACTTAGCTTGACTAGAAACTGAAGTCCCAAGTTAGTATAAGTATGAATTCCATTGACTAGCCCTTCATTTTACAAAGTAGAACTAGGTGCTTTTGGGGGAAGATATTTAGAAAAGGAGACTCTTCCTCAGCTAATTCCTGTCCTTCTCCCCCTGGATCATAGGCCAGCCCCACGCCTCCTTGGGGTGTTTACCGAGTTAGGATGGTGAAGCGGGTTTGGTGTTATTGGCACCCTCTCCCCTCTAACTCAATAATGTTGGCCAGCCTTGCCCCAGGCAGGCCCCTGGGAGCAGTGCTGGCTCCGGGCTTGGCCTCTGAGTCTGTCACGGGCTTCAGCCGCTGCCTTCAACTGAGAAGGGCCTTTCTGGGCCTGGACCACAATGAACTCCTGCTCCAAGCCACTGGACCGATTCTGCCCTGAAGCCAGTTCAGCCTTATCAGAATCTGGTCCCCGGACCACTGGAACTAACTCCCTTCTACACAGGGGGGACATGTAGGTGCTTACTTTTTAGCAGAACTGATCTGCCCCCCTCTCTTTTGGGCTCAACCTCTTAGCCTGCTTTCTGCTGCATTATGTGTGTGTCCTCCTACCCTACCTTCACCCCATGGCCCCGAAGAGGAAGCTCTTCTCTCTTAAATCCCCTAAAGGATCCGAGGTATGGGTTCACAGTCTCCACCTACTAGCTCTTCCTCTAAACCGGTCCCGACGAAGGTGCACCTAATAAAGTGGATCTCTCCCAAGAGGACTTGCATGGCGTGGGGGCTGTGGGTGGGGTCCTTTTATCTCTTGTCACTCTGGACAGCCAAGCACACAGTGCTTGCTTAGAAGGTCAGCCCCAGGGCCAATTCCTCCCCAGTGGCACAGGCCCCAAATGAGAGAGAGGTGGTCCCATCAAAGAGTGCTAGAAGCTTCTTATTCCTACAGTCACTGCCTTCTCTTCCCAGTGAGGTTTTGCTGCCAGAGGGGCTTCTTTGTAAAGCAGACCCTGAGTGATACAGCGAGTATATCACTCGGGGGTGTGTGTGTGTGTGTGTGTGTGTGTTGGGGGAGGGGACACGCGGCTACGCGTCCATTTCCTAAATGCTAAGAGTCATAGAAATGGATTTTTAATCCAAAGCCTTTGAACAAAGAACCTGTCAATACTTAATCAATACTTACACGATCATACCCAGTGGGTATCATCACCATTGACGGTTAGCGAATTCTCTTTACTGCCTACAAGCCCGTCTTGGTCAATACACGAGTCATCACAGGTGACATGCTCATGCAGCTTCTGAAAGTGCCCTTTATACCTTCCTAAGGAATCGAGGAACACACGGAGACAGTTCTCACTGAGTGACCATGAGGCCTTGGGAGCTCTACCGGGGGTTTCTTAAGAAAACAGAAATGTTGGGGCGCCTGGGTGGCTCAGTCGTTAAGCGTCTGCCTTCAGCTCAGGTCATGATCCCAGGGTCCTGGGATCGAGCCCCGCATCGGGCTCCCTGCTCCGTGGGAAGCCTGCTTCTCCCTCTCCCACTGACCCTGCTTGTGTTCCCTCTCTCGCTGTGTCTCTCTCTGTCAAATAAATAAAATCTTAAAAAAAAAAAAGAAAGAAAACAGAAATGTAGGGGCATCTGGGTGGCTCAGTCTGTTAAGCATCTGCCTTCGGCTCAGGTCATGATCCTGAGGTCCTGGGATCGAGCCCCGCATCGGGCTCCCTGCTCGGCGGGAAGCCTGCTGCTCCCTCTCCCTCTCCCCCTGCTTGTGTTCCCTCTCTCACTGTGTCTCTCTCTGTCAAAGAAATAAATAAAATTAAAAAAAAAAAAAAAAACAAAACACAAATTTAGAAAGAGGAATTTTAAACAGTTGAAACTTTGCAGAAGATAAAGAAGGCCAAAATAAAGAAAGTGAAGTGGAAAGCAGAAACTTCACATTGACTTTTTAAAAGTTAATTACACAGTCTTTTATTCCTAGCTTGAAAAAAAAAAAAAAGCTTAAATCACTAGGAAACTATTTACAGGACGAGTCACACTTCACGCTGGGTGACTGGATATGAAGAAGGGCCACTTAAGGCCCCTTCTTGGGACAGGCTAGGACGGGTGACGCGATCTGCCCGCAGGGCTGCGCCAAGGGGGGGGTCCCGTGTCCTGGCTGCCGACAAACAAAGCATCAGAGGCATGCCAGAGCCGTTTTGCTAACAAATAATTACATGTCTTTTTAGTGTTTAAGAGAAATCTTAATCTTTCGGGGCTATCTCTGTAGAATCATTCTGGAAACGTGTATGATTAGAAAACTTTTAAAAAAATTAGGCTTGTTGCCCCCATGAGACCCGTTCCATCTTCCCAGGCACTGATGGGCCTTTTGGGGACAGGAATATGGAATGCTGGGCTCCAGAGAGTCCTGCCAGGACCATCAGCAGCCTCCTCGACTCAGAGCTCTTGTCCCACAGGCTGGCAGACCGGACCAGAGTCTTGGGTCAAAGTGTTTTGGGGAACGTCTTCTTGCTCCTCCTCTGGAAACGAAACAACGGACACAGAGTCCCAGGCATCATCCGTTGGCAATGTGTCCTTATCCAGGGCCTCTAAGATAGGCTGGCTCGGGTCCTTTAAATACTTGAAAAGGTCGAAAACCAAGAGTGTCATTAGTTTATTACGGCAACACAGCAGCCCTTCTGCTTGACGTTTACGGCACGGTCCTGTTTTACTCAGGGGTGCCTGCCTCCTCTGACTACCCCCGAAACAACCTGCCAAACGAGAACACCCCTCACGTCAGCAGTAACCTCAACGGGACCCAAGGGCCAGCCCAGGGCACACCATACCTCAGGGAAAAGCATGTTTTGACTTCCTGCCCTTGGTGCAGGCTTGGGGACAGTTCTTCCCCAAGTGGCTATGGAATTCTGACTTTCCAGCGAGGGAGGATGAGGGGCTTCCAGGTCACCCCTCACGGGGGAAAAGAGGGAAAGGTCGCCAGTGTTCTCCTCAGGCCCTCCACCCACCAGTTGCTTCCTCCTCACACAAACACACACCCAGGAGAGAAGCAAGGAGAGCGGAGGGGGCCTCAGGGCGCCCCACCTGCCCCTTCCCTCCAGCCTCTGTTCCAGGCTGAGCCATCCCTTCACTGCTGAGGGACCGAGAAACTCCCGCCTCACTCCCAGATATGCCGAGAGACACCGGAATGCGCAGTGAGCTGAGTTGACTGATGACAAGAGGGACATAAACCAATTATGTGTACTTCTGAAACCTCAGAAATATAAGCAAAACCTGATTCATTATTCTTCTGTAACTTCAGTGCCCTTTGATGTCTATTTTTCACACTTTCCCAGGAAAGTGAACCGAAAGACTCTGTTTTAGACCCACGCCCCCAAGGACCAGCTAGTAGTAAATACACTTCATTGGGACCTACTGGTGGTTCTTCGTGAGAGAGAGATCGTGCAAGTAAGATTCTGAGACCCACTGAGGGCTGTAACTGTGTGAAGTATTAACCAGGGAAGGGTTTTTTTGTTTTTGTTTTTTTGTGGTAACTACCCTCTTAACGAATTTTTAAGTGCACAATGCAGTACTAACTATAGGCATGATGATGCACAGCAGATCTCCAGAACTTACTCATCCTGCGTAACTGCAACTTCATACCCGTTGAACAGCATCTCCCTGGGTCCCTCTCCCCTGGCCCCCGGCAACCACATTCGACTCCTGCTTCTAGGAGGTGGACTATTCTAGATGCCTCACGTAAGTCCAATCATGCAGTATCTGTCTGGAGTTTTCTAGTGGGGAAAATTCACATGTAATTTGCGTTATGTCTGGGTACTTTAAATACCTCTCCAGCTCTACTTCTAGAAGCACTACTCTTTCTCTGTAGACTTGGACCTTATCTAACACCTGTTCCTTCTAGATGTAACAGAGTAAGATTCTGTTTCCAGTATCTTTACCCCGATTTTACTGCTAATAAACCTCCAGAAACAAATACCTTTAAATAATCTTCCATCGGTTCCTCGGAGGGCTCGGCCACTGCACAGAGCCGGGGAGGGGGGGTCGCTGTGCAGGAAATCAACTTCCCACGAGACCCGGTCCACCCATCTTCCTCAGGTCTTTCAAAATACCAGTGACATCCGGTGAGCTCTCTGTGGGGAAGGCTCTGTACTCACAGCCCTGGGTGCGTTTACTCTAGAATCCTTCTAAGTGCACAGCTCATGCCTAGAGCCCTGGCTTCACTGCCTTCCCACCCTCTGCCAGGCGTCTTGGGGGCTCTCTCCACAAGGCGCAGGTCTCACGCGCTGCTAATCTTGGCCAAGCCAGGCCACCTTTTTCACCAACCTCATGCCATTAAAAAAATTGTTTTAAGTTGCGGTAAAATACACATAACATAGAATTTTCATCTTAACCAGTTTTAAATGGTATAAAATACATTCACACGGTTATACAACCCTCACCACCATCTCCAGAACTGTTCTAATTGTGCAAAACTAGAACTCTGTCCCCATTAAACGCTAACTCCCCATTTCCCCCTCCCCACCCAGACCCCGGCACCCACCACTCTACTTTCAGGCTCTGTGAATCTGACTCCTCTAAGTACCTCATGTAAGTGGCATCACACAGCATTTGTCGTTCTGTGACTGGCTTATTTCACCTAGCATGATATCCTCAAGGTTCACCCATGTTGTTGCGTGAGTCAGAACCTCCTTCCTTTTTACGGCTGAGTAACATTCCATTGTGGGGACAGACCACATTTTGTTTATCCATTCATCGACTGACAGAAACTTAGGTTGCTTCCAGCGTTTGGCTGTTGTGAATAATGTTGCTATGAACAGGGGTGTCCAAATAACTCCGTACCACTTTTTTAAGTAGGCTCCACACCCAGCAGGGAGCCCAACGCAGGGCTTAAACTCACCACCCTGAGATCAAGACCTGAGCGGAGATCAGGAGTCGGACACTCAGCCGACTGAGCAACCCAGGCGCCCCTGCCCGGTACCACTCTTAACTCCACTCTGTGTCCACGGCTTTGTCCACTGCCGCACTCCTAGGCATCACCAGGGGGTCACGGAGGGCTGACACGTCACCCACTGGTTATGTGCACACGTACCTCTTTGATTTGTGATGGGATGCTTGGCGGAGAGTGAAACCAGTATTTTACCAGGCCTTTGTATTTCAGGACCAGGAAGAAACAGGCCCCCGCCAGCGCCGACAGCAACAGAAAGATACCCACGGCGATGATGATGACTTGTTGAAGCTTGGTAGTGGCTTAAAAAGATGACACGAGAGTGAACAAGAGACCCATCCCACACACGATACAAACACGGGCCACTCTTCACCTGCCAACTGCTCAGATAGTGTCCATGTCCTTGTGAGATGGATACATACTGTCCCTCCTCCGCCCAGCCTCATGTGCTCGAGCGCATAACTAGTCCAAGCAATCCTAAAATCAAGCTGTGTTAGCTGTCTGGCAGTGTTAGTGCTGTAGATCTCAGCATGAGCTGGTTAGACCGACTTGAGTGCTGGCTTCTCGTGCCTTCCCTCTGGGCCGCCCACCTCCCGCCACCCTCCACCCCATAAGCCAGCCCGGGTTTCACCACTTGGGGAGGATTCTTGTCCCAGCTCAGAGAGGGCATAAGAAAGCATATGTTACCATCCATTGTTGTTTCGTAGCAAGATATGTTGCTTAAATGTCCGGGTCTGGAGATGTTGTTGTAGTATGTCCAAACCAGATGCGCCTTCACTTGTAAACAGTATTCTCTTAAGGGTTTCAAGTCATCCAACACAATGGAGTTGCTCCTGAAGGGACCTTTAACCTACGTAAAAAATGCCAACAGGCACATGTGAAAATGACCCAAAGAGACGCGGTTGAGCCACTTCTAGCTTTTCCGACGTTTCCATCACCAAAGAAGAGAGAGATGCTGTTTCGAAAGAGTGGACACATTTTATGTGTGAAAGCTGGTGAACCGTGTGGACAAAGACGCTGATGACTTTAGAACTGTGTTTCTGGCTGTGAGGCCTCAGAGGGCCCACTGCAGCCACAGGACGTCTGCCGCTGGAATTTAGCAAACCCCAATGTCTGGGATGGACTTTTCTCCTTCAATGGGGCGCCTGCGTGGCTCAGTCAGTTAAGCGTCCGACTCTTGGTTTCAGCTCAGGTCATGATCTCAGGGTGGTGAGACTGAGCCCTGCGTCATGCTCAGTGGGGAGTCTGCTCATCCCTCTCCCTCCCCCCTGCACGCTCCCTCTCTGTCTCTAAAATACATACATACATAAATAAAATCTTTAAAAAAAATAAAATTGCTTCAATGCCCAGTGCGTTTACTTTGTATCACTATTTTGTACTTCACGGTTAATGTATTCTAGATACTTCAAGCTAGTCAACGAACAGAGAAAAAAAAAATCATCATGGGAAATAATGTTCCTTTAGTTCCGAGTCTGCTTTTAGTTTTAACTGAAATGTGCTGATGCCTCTTACACAGTTTTGGTCAACATGATCTTCGTGAGTTATGTAATCGGGACACAGTTGGATCCCAGATTCTTGAGGATTCTGTCTCTTCCCCTTGGCCTGTCCGTGCTGCTGCCTCCCTCAGGCCTCGTCAACCCCCCCCGCCCCCGCCCGCATCTGGATCCCTCTAGTCAATGGCTTCTCACTCTGCTGGACAAAGTCGGCATTGTTCCTCCTTTCCCAAAGGAGGGAAAGATACATGATGGCAGTATAGGACTTCTTATAAGGGGCTTGCTTTCCTATTTTGAGATGTAGTAGGAAACACTGCAGTCATTTGAAATGGTGGTATAACATATGCTCAGCAACATGGAGATGAAGCTGCGATAGTGCTGACTGAAAACGGGCAGATTATTCAATAGTATGTAGAGAGCATCTTTTTTTTTTTTAACTTTTTTTTTATTTATTTATTCATGAGAGACAGAGAGAGAGAGAGAGAGAGAGAGGCAGAGGGAGAAGCAGGCTCCCAAGGAGCAGGGAGCCCAATGCAGGACTCGATCCCAGGACCCTGGGATCATGACCTGAGCCAAAGGCAGACGCTTAACCATCTGAGCCACCCAGGCGCCCGAGAGCATCTTATTTTTAAAAATGTAAAATAATCACATTACTTAGGAATAGTAGGATCATAGATTTTTTTTTTTCCCCTTCTGTTTAATGGTGATGGACTGCCAGGGCAGAGGAGAAAAATTTTTGCTTGGGATGCCACATAAAGCAATTTTAAAAAACACTTATTTGGGGCGCCTGGGTGGCTCAGTCGTTAAGCGGCTGCCTTCGGCTCAGGTCATGATCCCAGGGTCCTGGGATCGAGTCCCACATCGGGCTCCCTGCTCCGTGGGAAGCCTGCTTCTCCCTGTCCCGCTCCCCCTGCTTGTGTTCCCTCTCTCGCTGTCTCTCTGTCAAATAAATAAATAAAATCTTTAAAAACAAAAAACAAAAAACAAAAAAACACTTATTTGTTTATTTGAGAGACAGTAAGTGTGGTGGGGGAGGGGCAGAGGGCGAGGGAGAGAATCTCAAGCAGATTCCCTGCTGAGCGTGGAGCCCTACTAGGGCTCGAGCCCATGACCCAGAGATCATGACCTGAGCCCAAACTAAGAGTCCAGCACCTAACCAACTGACTGTGCCAACCAGGCGGCCCCACCACATGAAGCAATTTTAAGTACAAACTTCCTTCGGGGTTTATTTCAGTCGCCAGTTGGCATTTCTAGAATTTAGAATCACGGACTGCAGAGACCGCTGTCCTTGGGGGGCCTGCTTGCAAGGCTAACCATAGCTGGCATCTGGGAACTTGGAATCCAGAAATGTCCCTACCCTTCCCTAACAAATATCGGCGGCTTATGGTAAAAAAAATGTTTTCTATGCTGAACACCTGCTCTCCTTCTAGGAGTCTGGAATTTTGAACTGTGCTAGGGAGAAGAGGCCTGTATTTCCAGTAAAACCCCTGGGCACTGAGTCTCTGATAAGCTTCCCTGGGTAGACATTTCACATGTTGTCACAGTTGGTTGTTGGAAGAATTAAGTGTGTCCTGTCTGAGTCTTTTGGGAGAAGGTTCTTGGAAGCTTGTATCTGGCTTCCTCTGGAGTTCGGCCCATGTGCCTCTTCCCCTTGCTGATTTTGCTTTGTGCCCTTCTTCTGTAATAAACCATAGCCATGAATACAACCATATGCCAAGTCCCGTGGGTCCTTCCAGCAAATCCAGGGGCTGGTCTTGGGGACACGGGCTCTTAGCTGGAATGGAGGTATTTTGGAAGCTCTCAGACTCATTTGAGCCCTAGCATCTTTTGTTCACAGAAGTCCAAAGTATAGCTGCTCTGGTAGAATGGGGTAAAGGGGAATCCCTTCTGGAATCTTCCAGGCCTTCTCTATTCCAGTTGACCAGACCTTGACCTCTTCCTTTGGGGAAATGGTTAGTTCCCTTTTCCCCATAAGAGTCTATTCTTCAGTGAATTTTGCCTTCCTCAATGTTTTAAGATTCACCATAAAGAAATGAGTAGGAAGTACACATATAAACTATGTGGGAGAAGATCTGCAGAGCATGGGAAGGCCTGGGTGGCTCAGTCGGTTGAGCGATCCCAGGGTCCTGGGATCGAGCCCCATGTGGGGCTCCCTGCTCAGCGGGGAGTCTGCGTCTCCCTCTCCCTCTGCTCCTCCCCCTGCTTGTGCTCTCTTTTTCTGACAAATAAATAAATAAAATCTTAAAAAAAAAGAGAGAGAGAAAGAAAAGAAAAACTGCAGAGCATGGACTCTGGGCTCAGATGTGCTAGCTGTCAGCTGCTGACCTTGGGCAACTTACTCAACCAGTTGGTTCCCTTCTCTGTGACACGGCTCGGCACAAAGATTAAATGAGATGATGTATCTAAAATGCCTGGCCCCGGGGCCCAATGCAAAGAAAGCTCTTGATAAACATCCGCTCTTATTATTATAAAAAGACTCTAATCACCTTAAACTTATACAATGATGAATGTCAGTTATATCACAATAAAACCAGAAAACAAACAAAACAAAACGGTTATAATACTGTTGAGTTTAGGAAACCCTGAAGCTTACATCGATAATAAAACTTCATGATAACGCAGCTTGGATAATCAGGCACTGCAGAGGACTGAAGGCCAGCATCTTCCCTCCTATTTTGTAGGGCTGACCAGGGCCTGCTGGTCTCATGCACCTCAGCCCCTCCTGCATTCCTGACTGACCCTAGCGCTTGCAGTCCCCCGGACATCCCGAACCTTCCCACACCCTCTCTGCCCTCTTCCCTAGGTGGGTCTCTCTCCTCCCAGTAGACTTTTCACCTGTTCACACATGCTTTCTTTGCAAATCACTCAAACCAGAGTAATTTATATAAACCTTGCAGACTGCAGGGGTGGATTCCTTGTTGTAGAAACAGGTCCTCTAGAACCTTCTCCAGCCTTTAGAGGGCCCCAGGGGCTCCGTGCGCACCCCAAACAACGGGAATGGCGTGCTGTCAGTCAGAGAGGGGAGTTCAGGGCCACCTGACAGAAGGGGAGGCGCAGCATAGGGAGCAGAAGCTCGGGTCTTGAAGGGAAGAATTAAACCCGATTCGGGGCTCAGACTAAGGCAACACTGGGAGGCTCTGTCCTCCTTGTCCAGTTTCCAGTTTACTTCCTTTTGCTGTATCAGAAAATCAACACAAAGTAGAAAAATGCTCTTGCCTTTTGGACTCCTGCCTTTTCCCAGTAATGGACATAGTACACAAAAGTGGCCAGGGAGGCAGGGATGTCGAAGGGAGAGGAGAATCTGATGATCAGGGAGCCTTCTCCCGGGGTCACCCAGACGTTCTCAGGAGGTCCAACGGTAACTGAAATAGAGTAACGAACACAAACACAAAATATACATGTAAATATATACACATACATACAACATATCATCTTATTTTTTAATTTAAATTCAGTTAATTAAAATATAGTGTATCACTAGTTTCAGAGGTAGAGGTCAGTGATTCATCCGTTGCATATAACACCCAGTGCTCATTACGTCATGTGCCCTCCTTAATGCCCATCACCCAGTTACCCCACCCCCACCCTCTTCCCTCCAGCAACCCTCAGTTTGTTTATCCTAGAGTTGAGTCTCTTATGGTTTGTCTCCCTCTCTGATTTCATCTTGTTTTCTCCTCTCACACATAATTTTACATATATAGTGTGTACACACACAGACACACACACACACACACACACACAAAATACAATGAGATTGCATTCAGGCACACAAAACTCCCAGAGACTGCTCTGGGCACAAGCTTCACGTGGAAGGCCATGGGGCAGGAAGACCAGCGGGACCACGGTGCGGCACCAGGGGCTTCTCATCTTCGGTGGCAGGCGTCCCCGTGGTGGCCCAGAGCCAGTCTGTCCGCCCGCCCCCCCACCCCCACCCCAGGACACAGCTTCCAGGCAGAGTAAGACCCACAACAGGCCAGTACAGGAGCCTCCCAGGCTTAAAAGTCCCAAGAGCCAGTATCTCTTACGATAACAGGAAGAGTTTCTAGAGTCCCCGTGAGGGACATGTACAGTTACAATTGCTGCACTCAGCAAAGACATGGCTCCCTAACAGGTATTTAAGATGGCCCCAAGGGAGGTGCAGTTTATCAATCAGGGCTCATTTTGCCATAAGTGACGCTGCCTAGGAACATAGCTGACAGCCACCTTGACCAGGTTTCCAGAGAAACAACTAGGTTAACCAAAGATCAGATTTTCATGCAGAAGGGGACAGGATTTTGTTACCCTTACCTACCACCTATCTCCTTTGTAGATTTATTTTTAATATACATTCTTATAATTTCTTTATAAATGAACAAAAGTGGTATTTATCAACCTTTAAATCCATGTCTCCCAGCTTATTGTCAGACTGTTTAAATATAGTACCAGAGAGATGTTGCCATCGGAAGTCTGCTTGTTGAAGCTTTTCATAGAGTTCACGGGACAACCAAGGACTGTGAGTCATGAAGTGCATTAAATGAAGGGTTCCAGCATGTATCAAAACAAGCACTTCAGACTGAGTATAGCTCGGGTCCCACGAGTTCTGAGAGGCCCATTCATGCACCGTTTGCACGTGCAGGCGATCGGATCACTGTGAACAGTTGTGTGTTCATGACTGTTCATGCCTTCCGCGCTCTCGCCCGGGCTCCCCCCGGCTGGGCCAGGCTCTGGCATCTGGTTGGGCCACCCTACTCTGTGAGAAAGGAACTGGTCCCTGCAGGGTTTGCAGACATGCCCTGCGGTCTCATGGGCTGTGGTGGAGGAACCAGGTCTAGACAGAGACCGGGCTGGCCTGGCCCCCCACCAGCCAGAACCACGTTAGCGGATTAGCTGCAAGTGGCCAGAAGCTTTTGTGAACCCTGTTCGCAGATGCTGACCAGCAGGGTCCGGCCGCCTGCCTCAGGCTTCTCGCCTCTGTAGGACATGTTCTCTAGACTTTTCTGTGACTTACACATGGGAATGGGCCTGGAAGCTAGGGTGTCGGCCGTGACCAGTCACTTTGTCCCCGGAAGGTCTGTGCGGAGAGACCTGCCCTTCTGAGAGTCCTGGATCCAGGATCTGGTACCAAGTGACAGGTGCCAGGAGGTTAGGATACGGGTTTCTTGGGTCTGATGTACAGTGTGAATAAATGCTTGCAGCTCTTAGCCCTCTTCGATCAATGAAGCACTTTTTGAGGGGGAATGAGCCTGTCTCTCGAGGGGGAAACAATCTGCCTTCTCTCAACACATTGAAGGGAGTTTCAATTATCCGTAGATAACTTGGTAACAGCTTCCACGGACTAAGCTCTTATTGTAAACCAGGCAACAAGAAGGTCATCTTCGTTTCCCACAGGGAGAAACAGAAGCCTAGAGGTGATCGCAGTGGCCCAGAGTCCTAGCCAGTAAGGGGCAGAGCTGGGATTTGAACCTAGGTCGACGTGAGGCCCCAGCCACCTCCTCCTCCCCCCGCACACGCTCAGTGAAGCATCCTCGTGTTGGTTATGCACTCCAACTGCACAAGTGCTGGACACAGTGATGGGGTCTGAGGATATCCGACTTTACAAGTGAGCCGGGAACCACCTGGGAACACTGCTGCCCAGCTCAGGCCGGGAGGACGGGGGGCCGCCGTCGCCTGGGACCGGACCGACGACTTCCACAACAGGCCCTGCTTCCATTCCCGTTCCTCTTCTCCCAGGCCAGGCCCGGGGACCACCATTACTTTCTCTTTCTTTCTTAACTAATTCCCACCTAGGTGACATTTCATAGCTCAGATGTGTGCTGGTTCTCTGCGCAAGGACAGATGACTTGTCCGCAGTAAATGCCCAGCTCAAGGGGACTGCGCTGTCTCCTCTTTCCATCCCCGCATCACCTGGCACAAACTGTTGATTTTTCTTCCTAGCTTCCTGTTGCAGACAACCTCAACCACGTAGGAAGGAGAGGTCGGATCAAGACGACAACGCAGGTCCTCGTCACCCAGCATGTACCCACCACCAGGTCATGGCCAATTTTGTTCCTCTCATCCCCCTTGCCCTCAGCCCTCCCACTCTGGATTATTTTGAACAAATCCCAAATATCACATCATTTCATGTAAAAACTCCAGTACGTGTCTCTAAAGGATAGAACCCCCGCTTTTAAAAACATAAAATACCATGATAACACCTGAAATAAACTAACAATAATCACTTACTAGATCATCAAATAGCTAGACAGTGACCCAACTTCCTCACTGTCTTCTACCTCTGTTTCTGTTTGTTTTGAGTCAGGATCCCATACTTTGTTGGCCTAAACCACAAACACTGAAGAAACCTGGGACACAGCTGACCATGTGAGACATGAGTCATGGAAGGAGCGAATGTACAAACTAGTATCTGTCGATTCTTATGCCCTCTTCCGATTTCTGGGAGCACACGTGCTCATTCAACCAAGCTTTACGACATATCCACTATGTGCCAGGCACTGTTCAAGGCTGAACGAAAGTCTTTCTTGAACATAAAGGAAGTTGTGCCAGAAGAGATGAGGGGGATCACCGAAGCCAATATGCTAGTGTCCCATCCAGCCCAGAGGTCAGCAAGCTTTTTTGGTAAAGCGCCCTAGTAAATTAGGCTTCGCGGGCCAGACAATCCCTGTTGCAACTGTTCAACTCTACTGCTGTAGCGTGAAAGCATCCATAGACCATACATTATTAAAAGACGGTGAAATTGTGTTCTAATAAAACTTTATTTACAAGAACAGGTTGGTGGGCTGGATGTGGCTCACGGGCTGTGGTCTGCCAGCCCCTGGTCTAGCAAATCACACTCCTCTAGCGCCAGCCTCCATGCTCAGTCCTGGGGTTTGACCATCATACCCACCTGTTTGCTGGCTATGCGGGGTCAGAGACAGGACTGGGGTGCACGGAATCCGTACTTCTCAGTGAGGAGTAAAGTGAAGAAAGCCTAAATGATAAAGGAAGTTTTATAGCCAAGTTCTCTTACCATTCCAATAGTACAGGAACCAAGGCACTGACAGCCATGGGGAAACCAGGTCCTCCAACTTAGCTCGGACACGTAAAGAGACGTTGAAATGTGGTGGGAAACCATTTGAGAGGCTGCTTGGGGTGAAGTTACACTCCGTCGTGGTGACGTTCATACAGTGCACACCTATGTCGCTGGTGTCGTACCACCTACTGTCAGAGGGGCTGCAAAGGAAAAAAGGCTTTCACTTCACGGACTTCTCTCTTCTGCCACATCCAACGGTTTCCCCAGAGCCGATTTTTTAAAAAGCAGCTTCCCTGCGATACATTTTGCAGACCAAAGAATCCACCCCAGTAAAAGCGTACAGATTCAAAGCGTTGTGCAGCCATCACCATGATCAATTTTAGGGCGTTTTTATCATTCCCCCAAAGAAACCCCGTACCTATTAGCACTCACTTCCCACTGTGCCCTAACCCCCTAAGCCCTGGGCGACCATTAATCGTCTACTTTCAGTTTCTATGGATTTGCCTCCTCTGGACATTTCTTATAAACGGGCTCGTAAATGGCATGGTCTTTTCCGATTGGCTCTTTCCACCTGGCGTGTTTTCAGGCATGATGCGGCGTATTGTAGCATCAGTATGTCATCCCTTCTGATGGCCGAATACGATCCCAGCATACGCTTATAGTACATATCGTTTCTCTGTTCACCTGTTTATGGACATGTTGGCTGTTCCCACTTTTTCGCTGTTGTGCGTAACACTAAGAAATATTCACATGCGAGTTTCTTTGTGGACGTAACTTTTCAATTCTCTGGGGTAAATACCTAGGAGTGGAACTGATGGGTCTAACTCTCATTTTAAACTGTCTTCCAAAGTGGCTGCACCATTTTACATTCCCAGCTGCAATGTATGAGGGTTCCAATTTCTCCACATCCTCACCAACACTTGTCATTATGCCTTTTTTTTTTTTTATAGCCATCCTAGTGGCTGTGCTGTGGTATATCACTGTGGTTTTAAATTTGCATTTCTTTGATGAATACTGATGTTGGGCATCTTTTTATGTATTTATTGGCCATTTGTATATCTTCTTTGGAGAACTGTCTACTCAAACCCTTTCTCTGTATTTTAATTGGGTTGTCTTTTAATTGTTGAGTTGTAAGAGTTCTTTATATACTCTGGATGCAAGTCTCTTATCAGATTTTTCCCATTCAGTCCTGCAACTGATTTTAATTCTTCAAACTCTACCTCTGTAGCCGACGTCTTAGGAAAGATACCGTGTTCATACAAACCCCACTGATGCTTCCTGCTAGTGTGGAGTTCGTTTTATACCACAGATGCCCATTTAAAGTTTGCATCACCCATGTGAAAACCCTGCTAAATATGAGGCCACATATTCTTGTAAATGACAATGCATTCCCCAGAGTCCTAATGCCACACCCCCACATGGGACTCTACTCTCCAGCTCTAACCTCTGTGCTTAGGTGACAGACTTGCGAAAAACCAGGGAGGTGGCTGCTCGAGACCTCAATGGGGGGCAGTAGGCCGTGTGCTCTGTAGAGACAGGCTATGCGCCCCACAGCAGCTCTGGCCTAGAAAGCAAGGCCAGGGGAGACAGAAGAGACGAGGCTGGGGATCACTGCCACCAGCTCTCACACACCACACTTCTAAGGGTGCCTTTGACCCTGACTGGAGACTCCTCTGTCAAAGTGGCCAGTGGCAAGATGAAGGCCACTTCAAGATGTGTGGCCATGGCTTCCGTGGAAGATTCTGCCATACCCACATTACCACCAAGCCCCGGGGGCCAGACCCTACTGGGGAGGGGGATCCCCGAGCACAGGCACCCCCGTCTTAGATTGGGGGTGTGCTTCAGAAGGGGTAAGTGATCTTTAAAAAGTTATACAGATACTTAGAGATACTCTAACCTTCTCCCCTGCAGATCCCAGCTGTTGAACTTGGGCAAAAGGCTCCCCACATTTCAAAGGCTCATTTCCCGACTTACCAGGGAATGGACTGCTCCTGTCCCCCATCCTCCCCTCTCCTCCACCCTTGGCCCTGTCTCAGAACTGCTTCTGAACAATGTTTCTCCACAAAGGGGTCTAAAGGGGGACGAACCCTCCCAATTTAAATGACAGCTGACCCATGACAGCAGTTTCAGGGGGAAGAGTGGAAAAGGAAGCTGCATTCTGGAGGCCGCCTCCCCCTCTCTTCACAAAGGGGGTAAATAAGGGGATGATGTTGGCCGCACTTCAGTGACCCCGGCCTCGAGCATGGCCCCGCCCACCGCCAGACTCCACCTCGTGTCGTGGCCGGGCCGTGGCCGAGTCTCACCCCGACAGTCCCGCGGGCTCCCCCTCACCATGTATCCATCATGGACTGCCTCTGTCCCTGAATTTCAGTTTGAAAGCAGCCCTCATCATGAGAGGGAGCACAGTATGGTGGTTGAACACATGGACTCTGGAGCCAGATGACCTGGGTTCAAATCCCCGTTACCTGCTTCTCTGTTCCTTAGTCCCTTATCTATAAAATGGGGATAAATTATGGTATTTGCCTCCTTGAGGGATCATGAAGCCGACATTAGGAAAGTGCCTGAGCCAGGACCTGGTGCCCAGGAAGCACCATGTAAATGGTGCCAGGTTCCACACCTGGGCAACTATGGACTTCACTGTTTGGCCTCTGTTAGATCACTTCCAAAAATGGCAAGTGTCCCCTCTGACCCAGCAATTCCTCTGCTACAAATGAAGAAAACAATCGGATGATTTATGTACGAGGACCCAAGCTGGTGACCGTCTACACCCGCAAGTGGGGAAGCGTTAAATACATCATGTGTGATGCATCATCTAATAAAACGAGCAGTAAAAATGTTTACACAGAGACCATTAGAAGGAAGAGTGCTCATACACTTAACTATGTTTGGTTGAAAAAAAAAAAAAGGAAGCAGCGCCCAAAAGCATAACCCCAGTTTTGTTTCATTTTTACGCATACACCAGCACATTTTCAAACCAAGTGCGAGCATTCAGAAAAAAGTCTAGAGAGAAATATGCCAGAAGGAGAATAGAGATTATTCTTGGGCTGTAGAGCACTAGGTGGTTTAAATTTTATTCTTTCTACTTTTCTGGGTGTTCTAGCCTTTTTGTAAAGAACACATGTTGCTGTTAAAATCAGGAAAATAAAATGAAATAAAAAAACGTTTTCAGAAGACTGGGCTGGTCAGGTCAAGTTTTCTTAAAATGAAATCTCCAGCTTTTTTAATGTTGGCACTAATTGAAAAAAAAAAATTAAACACTGGGGTTCAAACACAGCCTGAAGGCCACACTCTCTGCAACCCCTGATTTAAACTTGAAATTTTCCCACAGTGCTCAGTGTAATTTTGGCTTTGGCTACTGTACTGTCAGAGAACAGGCACCTTCATTTCTAATTACAGTAATGCTTTACTGTAGAGAAACAAGATGGGAAAGTTTTAAGTCCCACAAGTCTCAAAATGAAATTATTTCATGTCGCTAAAATGTCCCAAACACGTAAAAGTCTCTAAAAACAAAACAAGAGCAAAGGCCCTCCTCTCATCAAATCTGTGATTGGAAAAGAAAACAAGACCAGCCCCGGTTTCAGTTTCTCATTACCCCTCAACTTTCCAAAGAAGGATGCTCACATTCACCCCATCCTTTGTTTCTTTTACCAAAACCAACCTCTATCCTGAAAAAACATCTGCAAAATGCTTTCCAAAAGGGAAACGAAGTAAACATGTTAGTCTGGGAAAGGAAACTGTCAGAGCCTTCAAGGAATATTTCTACTATCTCCTGAACTCTGTCGACCCAGAGATGTACTTCCCCTTCAAGGCTAAGGGATGCGAGTCAGGGTATCAGCTGTGGCTTCCTGTCACCAAAATCTTGTTTAGTCCTACAACATCATGTTTACTGAATGCTGAGTAGGGCCAGCTTCTCGGGCTTGTGACCCATGGAGGGGCACAAAGCCCCACTCGGAGGAGACACTCAGTTTGATGCTCGGCTGTCGCCATCTTGAAGTTCTCAGTAATTCTGGACAAGGGGCCTTGCACCATTTTCATTTTGTGCTGGGCCCCACAAATTATGTAGCTGGTCCTCGTGGACTGGTCCGCTTATTATAGATTATTGGCACTTACTTGAGGAACAGCTAAATGTAATCCAGAGATGACCCCTAAACCCTGGTTTAGAATCGATTTTTATTAAGCAAATGTTGTTACAATGGACATTCAAAGGTGAAAAAGAAGTCACCTGGAAACCCACTCCTCTTACAAATTAAGTGCCCGTAATTTTTCCAGGTTCCTTCCCTGTTCTTGACCACAGATATGGTCCAAATTTTACACCATTGCAACCACTACCACATTATCCTTTTTAATAGTTGCCTAATGTTCAACTACTAGTTAACATGACACAATTTGGCATTTTTCTGCTGATGGACATGAATTTATACTTCAATGTCTATCTTCACGAATACCAGTGGCTTTTTTTCCTTTCCTTTTTTTTTTTTTTTAAGATTTTATTTATTTATTTGAGAGAGCGAGAGTTTTGGGAGAGGGAAAGAGAATCTGAAGCAGATTCCGCACTGAGCACAGAGCCCGACTCGGGGTTCCATCCCACAACTGGGAGATCATGACCTGAGCTGAAACCAAGAGTCGGGACGCTTAACTGACCGAACCACCTGGGACCCCCTTTTTTTTCTTTTTCTGATGGGGGCTTGTATTACGTGCGTAGGGGAAAAGTGACGTGGACATTTCTGTGACTCTAGCTGTATGGCAGATGACTCTGCTGGAGGGCTGTGCTAACTCATCCTCACCCAGCACGATCTCCATCAACCACACTCTTCCAAGCACTGAGCATTACCATTTCCTTAAATTTTGTGTAACTGGTAATATAAAATGACTTGGCCAATAATTTTAACTTAGTCTTCTCTTAACCTATGTAACAAGGTAAACACGTAACAATTGAGGACTTCGATTCTGCCTTTCTTTTTCCCTTATGTGCCTTCTGTTGCACGCCGAGTGATGATAAACTGTGAAAGCGGGTGAGCGAGAGAATGAAGGGCCAGAAGAATGTGCGAAATGGAAAGCCCCTTTTAGAAATTGAGAATTAGTAGTAATTAAGTGAATACTTTCCTTAGTAGGCCAAATCTGGCCCATAAGGTTCGATAAACCAGATTTTCAAACTTGAAGAAGATGAAGGCTCCAGGGTGCCTCCTGCCCTTTCTAGACAGGAAGCCCTCTTCTACACACCTCTCCTGAAACCAGTGAGAACCATCTCCCCGTCCAAAGAAGAAGCCCTGTGGGTAGGCAGCCAAGGCTCTGACACCAGTACTGTCTAAGCCTGTGCGTGAGTGGGAGGTGGTGAAATCTCAGCTGGCCCACGGGCCCCCCGTGCCACTCCCCGTAAGGACGCCAACAGAAAGATCCAGCTTACTATTTGAACTGCACCTGGTAGACCACCGGCCTTGTGTCACTGCTCAGGGACCCGGGCTCCCAACTCAGAACCTGCTCGGCGTTGTACAGGCGAACCTTCGGGTTTCGAGGAGCTGGCAGCTGGGCACGAGAGTCTTGAAGGGGGCAGAGGTGAGAGAGAAAGGGGGGAGGGTTGAAAGAGAAAATCTGATTACAACAATATTTAAATGCACGTCATCAAACCATTCACACAACTCCGTTTTTGTCAAAGTGCAGAAATGGTTATTACCAGTGTCTCCAGGCCTGTCCCCTCGCCCCCACCTTTGACTAGATATGGCACCAATGACACAGCCCATGGAAGGAAAGAGAGGCTTGGGGCCTGCAGATTCCAGTTCTTCTGAACGGGGCCCGGATGCCGGAGTCCCGCTCAACTAGGATGCATGTTCTATCTCTGATAAGCAGGTGCGGCGGGGCAGGTTGACTTGATAGTCTGGGCCTCACTGTCTTCTTCAGGAATAAGGGGTAAATAACCATACGCCCCAAAGTGAACACTGAATTGGCGGCCACGGGACACGCATTCTCCCCAGACATGCACTGGTACCAAGGGAGGGCCTGGTAAACCTTCACACACACACGTGCACACACTCGCACACTCACACACCCACGCCCAACACCAGGTGTGCAAAGCCCAAAGGCACATAGAGGGTGAGACATGTCCTTTGGGCTTCATAAAGAGTTGCAGTGTTTCTCAAGGACCGCCAGTATCAGAATCACCAAGGTCCCACTTAAAATGCAGATCCCCAGGCCAAGCCCCCAGACCAGGAAATCCACGAACAGCCAAATAACACCCGCCCCTGGGGATCCACCACCAAGGTCCGAGCCCCCCTCCTGGGGTGACCTGGGAGGCACAACCCCAGCCCTGCCCCCCCAGCAGGTACTTCACAGGACAGGGCTCGGGACCACAAGCGCAGGAGCCTCTTCTCTTCCAAGAGAACACGATCGGGACGGGCCTTTCTCTGAGATTCAAAGAGGAATGAGAAATGCCCAGGAGGTGGAAAGAAAGGTTCTGGAACATGCTGTTCCAGAATTCAGAGCAGGAAATTCAAACCATATGTTTTCAGTAAGCACATCCAATCTCCAGGAATGGTGGCCGGCTCTCCTTCTGAAAGGCGCGTTACGAAGAGACTGTGGGCACTTGTTTGCTTCCAGAAGGCCCACTGTCTCCACAGCTCCGAGCTCAGGAGGGCCTTCGTTCCAGTTCCTTACTCAACCGGCTAACCAACACTCTGCCAGTTCACACCAGGGCCAAAGGCAGGCAGGCTGGGGCTGCCTGGAGGGAGGCCGTTCTGCTGGGCAGGCCCATCAGGCTCACGGAGGCTGCTGTGCGCCCCGGTAGATCTCAGAGCGCAGCTGAGGACTGGAGGCCTGCTTCTGGGAGCACGGTGCAGCACCGCCCCACCCCGGGGGGAGGGCTTCCTTAGGACCGGGCACTCCTCAGGGTCTCAGAGACCTCCTTTGACTTTCCTATATCACTTTCCTATGGATGCTGAGATGAAGTAGCACCGATTTAGTTGTCTTAAAAAACAACCCAGCTTGGTCGCTTACAGTTCTGGAGATCAGAAGTTTGAAACTGGTCTCACTGGGCTAATGTCAGGGTGTTGGTGGGGCTGGGTTCCTCCTGGAAGCTCTGGGGGAGAAATGGCTCCTTGCCTCCTGCAGCTTCTAGAAGCAGCCCACATTCTTTGGCTCTGACTCCTTCCCCCAGCAACAATGGGCTGATTCCTTCTCTCTCTCTTTTTTTTAAGTGACTACCCATTTATTTATTTTTCTTAAAAAATTTTCTTTGAAGATTTATTCATTTATTTTATAGAGAGAGAGCACGAGCAGGAGGGGCACAGGGAGAGGAGAATCCCAAGCGGACTCTGCACTGAGCGTGGAGCCTGACATGGGCTCGATGCCACCACCCCTGAGATCACAACCTGAGCCGAAACCAAGAGTTAGACACTTAACCGACTGAGCCAACCAGGTGCCCCTTTTTAAATTTTTACTTGAATTCTAGTTAGTTAACATACAGTGCGATATTGGTTTCAGGAGTAGACTTCAGTGATTCATCACTTACATATAACACTCTGTGCTCATCACAACAAGTGCCCTCCTTAATGCCCATCAGCCCATCCCCCACCCACCTCCCTCCATCAACCCTCAGTTTGTTCTCCATTGTTAAGAGTCTCTAATGGTTTGGTTTCTCTCTTTTTTTTCTTCCCCTCTGTTCATCTATTTTGTTTCTTAAATTCCACATGAGTGAAATCATATGGTATTTGTCTTTCTCTGATTTATTTCACTTAGCATAACATCCTCCAGCTAGACCCACATTGTTGCAAATGGCAAGATTTCATTCTTTTGGATGGCTGAGTAATATTCCACTGTATGGATATACCACACCTTCTTTATCCATTCATCAGTCGATGGCCATTTGGGCTCTTCGTATAGTTTGGTTATTGTTGATAATGCTGCTATAAACACTGGGGTGCATGTGCCCCTAAGAATCTGTATTTTTGTGTCCTCGGGGTAAATACCTAGTAGTGCAATTGCTGGATCATAGGGCAGTTCTAGTTTTAACTTTTTAAAAAAGATTTTATTTATTTATTTGAGAGAGAGAGGGAGGGAGAGAGAGCAGAGGGAGAGACAAGAGGGACAGGGAGAGAGAGAATCCCAAGCAGACTCTGTGCAGAGCATGAAGCCCAGTGTGGGGCTCAATTTCACGACCCTGAGATCATGACCTGAGCCAAAATCAAGAGCTGGATGCTCAACTAACTGATTGAGCCACTCAGGTACCCTCTGTTTTTAATTTTTGAGGAACCTCTACACTGTTTTCCAGAGTGGCTGCACCAGTTTGTATTTCCACCAACAGTGTAAGAGGGTTCCCCTTTCTCTGCATCCTCGCCAACACCTGTCGTTTCCCGTGTTGTTAATTTTAGCCATTCTGACAGGTGTGAGGTGGTATCTCATCGTGGTTTTGATTTGCATTTCCCTGATGATGAGTGATGTTGAGCATCTTTTCATGTGTCTGTTAGCCATCTGTATGTCTTCTTTGGAAAAATGTCTATTCGTGTCTTCTGCCCATTTCTTAACTGGATTATTTGTTTTTTTTTGGGTGTTGAGTTGGTAAGTTCTTTATAGATTTTGGATACTAACCCTTTATCAGCTATGTCATCTGCAAATATCTTCTCCCATTCCGGAGGCTGCCTGTTGGTTTTGTCGACTGTTTCCTTTGCTGTGCAGAAACTTTTTATCTTGATGGAGTCCCAATAGTTCATTTTTGCTTTTGTTTCCCTTGCCTTTGAAGATCTGTCTAGCAAGAAGTTGCTGAGGCCAAGTTCGAAGAGGTTGCTGCCTGTGTTCTCCTCTAGGATTTTGATGGTTTCCTCTCTCACATCTCTCATCCACTTTGAGTTTATCATTGTGTGTGGTGTAAGAAAGCGGTCCAGTTCCATTCTTCTGCCTGGTGCTATCCAGTTTCCCCAGCACCATTTATTGAAGAGACAGGGCCGATTCCTTCTCATGATGTCACCACTCTGGTCTGACTCTCCTGCCTCCCTCTTCGAGGACCCTTGTGATAACACTGGGCCCACGGAGCCCTACCATCCAGGGTCATCTCACCATCTCAGGATCCCTGGTCACACCTGCAAGGTCCCATTTGCCACGTGAGGTCACACAGCCACAGGCTCCGCGGCTTAGGATGTGGACATCTTTGGGGACTGTTATTTTGCCTGCCACAGTGCCCTTCACCATCCCGTCTCTGGGGAGGAGCCGTCTCCTGGCACCCCCATCTCCCAGACCCAGACATTCAGCTAAGGAAGGAAGCACCAACGGGCCGAGCAAGAAGAGTGGACTTCCACCCCAACTGACAGGTGGCCCAGAAGAAAGGCTTCCCCGTAAACGTGGAGTCTCCAGATGTGCCCTCTACTTTCTTCAGCTTTCATTTTCCCAAGGTGTGGGGAGCTGACCCACAGTTTTACGCTGACATTTGACTTTCCTGGAATCCCCTGTCTTACCACATTCAGAGACGATAACAAGTCTTACATCTGAGGGTTTCACAATGAAGCACCAAAGAGTGCCCACTCATTAGCAACTGCCTCATCACACTGCACCTGGCAGAAGGCCTGTCCTTGAAATGCCTCACCCCTGCACCACGGCCCCCACCGGGCCCTCCTTGTTCCTGGGAAACTCAGAGCCTGCCCTTGTCGCTCCTTCTCTGCAACCTTCTTTCTGGCTATGCCACAGCTCTCTCCCCTCCTCCCTCAGGTCTCTGCTCTTACTAGAGTGGTTTCCTGTATAAAATGCCCAGGGTGCGGGGTTCCCTGTCCCTGCCTGACACGTCTGCATGGTGCTTGTTCACCACTTGGGTCCTTTGTTTACACCACGGTGCTTAGGAGCATGGATTCCAGAACTAGACTGCCTGAGTTCAAAGCTGCACGCTCCTTAGGGCCTTGGGCAAGCTGTTTAACTTCTTTGTGCCCCAGCTGTCTCATCTGTAAAATGGGTACAGTACAGACTTCACGGTGTTGTTATGAGGAGAGAATGAGTTAGTTTCATGCGTGGGGCTGAGGACAGGGCAAGCACCTTGTGATCCGTGCCTCTCCTCATTGCCAGCGGTTTATTCACAGTCTCCCTGAACATGAGAGTGGGGAGCTCCAGGAAGGCTGGGTGTTGTTGGATTTGGGGACCGTTTTACCCCTCCCCTCCCCCCCTGCCTGGAATATCAGGCACTCAGAATCTGGGGAATGACTGGCCTGAAGCCCAGCAGCATGCTCGCCTTCAGAGATTACATAACCAACCCCTTGTCCTCAGCAGTGCATTCATCCACTGGAAAACCAGGCAGACCTAGGTTCCCCTTTTCCTTCCTTGCTTAAGGGGTTCCTCCCTTTGGTCTGGTCTCTGCTGCGTCAGGGAGTGGGTGGACAATGCTAGGCTGTGACTTATTGTTTGGCTCCAAAGAGTCAGCATTCTTAGGGTCATAGTACCTGCTATCAAAGGTGTCCATAAAGGCTCAGCGGGAAGAAAACCGAACTTATGGACAAAGGGCTTAGGCTGGAAGGCTAATCCTGCAACCTACAGCCACAGATCCTGCCAACACCCCAGCTGAGCCTTGGTTTCCTCCTGACTTGTGGAACAATGCCATCTCTCCTGGAGTTGTAGTGAGGGGCAAATGCAAGACCACAAATGAAAGGCAAATTAGACACTGCTGTCTAAGTAAATTTCTAAGATGTGACTATTTCAGGGTGTCCTGATTCCTCATGATATGGCTGCTTACACAGGTGGCAAGCAACAACCAGTCACCCAGACTCTGCCTTCAGGGACCCGCAACAGGGCGTCGAGCCCCGTGCTGAGCACTGTATCAGTGGTCTGACTCTGATGTAGGCAGAATAGTGTCCCCCAAAGATGTCTGTGTCCTATGAATATATTAGGTTACATGGCGAAGGTGAATTGAGATTGTAGACAGAATTTAGGTTCCTCATCAAAAGACCTTAAAATAGGGAGCTTATCCTCAAATAGCTGGGTGGACCCAGTCATCACAACGGTGTTTCTCTGGAAGCTGGAGAAGGCAAGGCAATGAATCTCCCCCTAGAACCTCCAGAAAGGAATGTATCCTTATTGACACCTTGATTTTAGCCCAATGGAACCAGCATCTGGCTTCTGACCTCCAGAGCTGTAAGATAATAAATTCTCTTGCTGTTTTAAGGCACTAAGTTGGTGGTGATTTCTTACAACAGGCACTAATATGGTCCCTGGAGGGGGACACCAGGGCTTTAACGACACCCAGCTCCTACAAGATAAAAGCTCACAGTACAAAGTTCCACTTCCCCTCCCCTCTCCATGCTAAGAAGAGATAATGTAGGGATCACCTGTGTGAAGCGTCCTCTGCTCCTCATGACTACAGCTCCTCCTGTGCCCCCTTCCTGCCCCGCCCATGACCTCTGATCCACCCTGGATCCAGGCGATTGAGACTTTTACCTTAAGAATAGGCTATCCTAGGTCTCAAAAGGATAGTTTGGTTAACATACATCACGCACAGAAGGGCGCCTGGGTGGCTCAGTTGGTTAAGCATCTGCCTTCGGCTCAGGTCATGATCCCGGGGTCCTGGGATCGAGTCCCTCCTTGGGCTCCCTGCGTCGGGCTCCCTGCTCAGCGGGGAGTCTGCTTCTCCCTCTCCCTCTACCCCTCGCCCATCCCCACTCATGCTCTCTCTCTCTCTCACTCCCTCGCTCTGTCTCAAATACAATAAATAAAATCTTTAAAAAAAAAAAAACCCACACATCACAGATAATAAAGTACATTAAAATAAATTGACATTAAAATTAATCATTTAATCTTGACATCCAAAGACCCCTCAGGATCTTTCCACGGATGGGGCGTTATGATGAACATCAATGACCCTGCAGGTGAGAAGAAGTCAAAAAACATTCCCTGAATCCTCAGCCGTAACCAAGAAGTTGCTCTGATCAGTAAATCCTCGACATCAGCTTATTTACCTAGACCATTTGTCTCTTCCTATAAAGGACAGTTCTGTTTCCTTGAGAGTAGATGGGGCTATTACCTACTTGAAAAGAATGGTGGAGAAAATAAAGACAGAGAATGTTTATAAAACCTTGTCTGACCTAGAAGAGTGGCCTAATAAATGCTATTACTATCATTTTTAGTTTGCCCCAAAACATGTCAGCTACTTAGGAGTTTTAACTGTTGAGATGATGGGCAAATAAGAGTTACTTAATGCAGGAGTGTCTGGGTGGCTCAGTCAGTTATGCATCCAACTCTTGATTTTGGCTCAGGTCACCACCTCAGGGTTGTGAGATGGAGTCCTATGTCAGGCTCCGTGCTCAGCGGGGAGTCTGCTTCTCTCTCTCTCTCTTTCCCTCTGCCCCTCTCCCTGCATGCTCTTTCGCAAATAAATAAATCTTAAAAGAAAAGAGTTACTTAATGCACATTAACATTTGCAAAGGTTTTCAGGTTGTTAGGCATTTACTATCTTTCTCAGTGGTCTCTCAGTGCATTAGAAGCAGCTTTAAATGGTCAAGACAGCAAATCACGGTAGTAAAATTCTAACGCACAAGTACCTTTCCAATCTACTGCAAAACTAAGCAGCAGGTACAAATACAAAGAGAAGCCTCAATTCTTCAACATTCAGGTAAAGGGCCAGAGACAGTTGATTTACTGCACTTTAGTAGAGTTGATTAATTTTTAATCTAAAGCAAATGGCCACTGCTTAAAGCATTACTACTGAGGGGAGCAAAATATGCCACCCCAAAATATGTCACTTTGGCATGTTGATTTTTTTTTGCATATTAATTATTTGGAATTAAAGTTACTTAAAAAACAGTCAGTGCAAGAAGGACACTCTGATTTTCCTTTATCCCCCTAAAAGCAGGAAATAAATCTCTCCTGTGAAGGTATCCTCCCTATACCAGGAGGATAAAGGGCATCTTTACTCAGAGATAGGAGATTCAAGGCTGAGAAGGCTGTATAAACAAACTTTGTTACTTCTTCATTAATTTGCGACCCCAAATTCAAATCCCCTTGTTTGGTTAAATCTCTGCAAATCATTGTTTCTGTATCTAAAAGGTATGAAAGCTGCCTTCTTTGGTCACTTCTTCGAGTCTTATATTTTTATAAACTCCTATAGGTACAAAATTAAATCTGTTTTTCTCCTGTTACTCTGTCTCATGTCAACTTAATTATTAGACCAGTGGAAGAACCTAGAAGGCAAGAATGGAAAAGTTTCCCTCCCCTACACTACAATTTAGATCAGGTCCAATATTTTATGTATGTTATCCTTAACATACAACTCTAAGGGATAAATATTTTAAATTTTCCTTTTTAAAAATTTGCTTCCAACACTTATTTTTTTTCTAACCATAAAAGCAACCTCATAATTACTGAAGGACAATTGTGAATTATGAAAAAGCGTGGAAATTTTTCTACTACCCATTTACCATGTAACCATTGTTAAAAGTTCCACTCTGTGCTTTGACTAACATAGTTTCTCTTAAAAATATCCCAGTTAGTTTTTTTAATGGTTTATTATAAAAAAAATTTCAAGTAGTCACAAAAGAGATTAGTATAACATGGTGCTATTTTTCAAAGGATCTGTGATGAAGGACCAGTTTCTTTCTTTCTTCTTTTTTTTGGGGGGGGGGAGCGACAGAGGGCGAGGGTGAGAGAGAAGAGAGAGAGAGAGAGAGAGAGAATCTTAAGCTGGCTCCACGCCAAGGCGAGCTGATATGGGGCGTGATCTCATGACCTGAGCTGAATCAGGAGTCTGACGCTTAACCAAATGAGCCACCCAGGTGCCCCCACACCAGTTTATTTCTCATGCATCACACTGATCCAAACTTTGGTAGAAAACAATAAAAGATAATTACTATAAAGAGGGGCATGGCCTTAGGTGTTGGGGCAATGTCAAACTGCAAAGTTTCTAAATATTTCTCTCCAAGTCAGACTCATGGCAGACAAGTCACAAATGCTGCATAGACCCTCCCTCCCCCCCAGTGAGGGGTAGCACTAATATACAGTAACCAACCAGCACTAAGCCCATCACCCAGCTCAGGCAGTTACCAACATTTTGCCAAAGCCCAGATCCCAACTGAAGGAGGCCCAGGGAGGGCAGAGCAGAGATTGCTCAAGATTTGAAGCTGGGGAGGGGTGAAGTCAGGATTCAAATCCATCTGTCTCAAAGGAAAACAACCATTTGGCCCAGAGCACACATCTTCATCTGCAAGGCTCCCCTTATCAAG